AGTACATGTAGCTACACAGCAGCCAGACAGAAGCAGATGGGAGAGACACGTCACCCCAGCCACAGTTCCCCCCCCCCCAACCGAACTCTTCCATTATCTGTGGGTAAGAGGGTAAGAGAGAGAGAGAGAAAGTGTGTGTGTCTGGTCTTGGTACTACTCTGTCTTATGTCTGTGCTTATGATTGAAGTACATAGATAGTCGTTGGGCCCTCCCTCCAGATTCCTCCATTTCCCTTACCTTACACATCCCATCCCATTCGAATCTCATCCAATTGAGAGAGAGAGACGGTCCCTTCATTACTGTCATTGCCCATAATCACCTACAATGGTGCTGAATCCTCGCTCGCTCGCTCGCTCGACAGAGTCCACTCTGCGTGGTTCTCTCACATCTCAGTCTTTTGTTGACCCCGAAACTTCTGCTCCTATCTCTACATCCACATCCCACAAGAAGTCTGCCACAAAACATACCTCTGCTTTCAGCGAGAAGAAAGCAGTCAACCGCCGAAAAGTGCGTGACGGTTCTCCCGAGAACCACGTCAATCCTTCATGGGGCCGGTTTAATGGTGATTCTTGGTTGAGCGTATTGGGCTGCGGCGCCATCATGGTATTCTGCCCCATATTGGCGATTCTATTCTCCGTTGCCCTTACCCATTTCAATGGAAGCATCACAAACACATTGTGGGCATATGCTACAAACAACCCCCTAGACCTTATTGCGCTCTACGCGCCTCGACCAACGATGAAGGCAACATTGGGATACGCTGCTTGGCTCATCTTCCAGGCCGTTCTCTACCGATGGCTTCCGAGCAATATTGGTTATGGTCAGCGCACTCCGGCTGGACATCTTCTTCCTTACAAGGTCAATGGCTTGCAGGCATGGGCTCTTACCCATATTCTTGCCGTAGTTGCGGTTTACTACGGTTACCTTGACCCGGCATACATTGCAAAGAACTGGGATGGTTTGATGGTAGTTTTCAACGTTTACGGATTCTTCTTGGCTGGGATTTCATACGCAAAGGCGCATTTGGCCCCTACACACCCCGACGACCGGAAGTTCAGTGGTAAGTGGCAATTCGGTCCTAAATGCGGCTGTGGCGTGAATTATTCGATCTGACTTTGGATTTGCAGGATCGAGGATCTATGATTTCTATATGGGAATTGAGCTGAACCCAAGATTTGGGCAATGGTGGGACTTCAAGCTTTTCCACAACGGACGACCGGGAATTGTTGCCTGGACTTTGATGTAAGTTGAAGATTATGATTTTCCGTGGGTTTATTACCGAGAGGATCACTAACATATTTTGTAGTGACTTGTCCTACGCTGCTTGGCAATACGAGAGAATCGGTTACATCACAAACTCGATGATTATCGTAAACATCTTGCATGCCTTTTATGTCGTAGACTTCTTTATCAACGAAGACTGGTTAGTGCTTTTTATTAGGCTGTTTGTTATTAGCGCTAATGTTTACCCACTATAGGTATCTCCGCACCATCGATATCTGCCACGACCACTATGGATTCTATCTTGCCTGGGGATCAATGGTTTGGTTGCCAACTGTTTACACCCTGCAAGCGCAATACCTTGCTCGCTACCCCGTTGACCTACCCACGCCTGTTGCAGTCGCTCTCCTTACGATTGGTGTGTCTGGGTACATCATCTTCCGCTCTGTCAACCACCAAAAGGATATCGTCAGACGCACCGGAGGAGAATGTTTGATTTGGGGAAAGAAGGCAGAAGTGATCAAGGCGACCTACAAGACCGAGGACGGAAAGGATCACGAATCGTTGCTTCTTTGCTCTGGTTGGTTTTAGCTCTCCTTTTTTTTTTTTTTAATGAAATAAATCATGAACTAACCAATCACAACTAGGCTGGTGGGGATTCGTCCGTCACGCAAACTACCTCGGAGATCTCATTCTCTCATACAGTGTCTGCGCCGTCTGTGGAGTCGACAACCTTCTGCCCTGGACATATGCGATTTTTATGACTATTCTCCTGATTCAAAGATGCGGGAGAGATGACGCGAGGTGTACAGGGAAATATGGCCCGGACTGGAAAAAGTACTGCAGCATTGTCAAGTACAGAATTATTCCTGGCATCTACTAGAAGCAGAGATTCACGTTGAACAAAAAATAGACTTATTGGACGGAGTGTGGAGCAAACTGGAAATACATGCTTTTTTTATTTTCTTGTTCCGAGTAGATTCAGATGAGGATATGATTGGTGGGATAACAAGTTATCTTTATAATGGAGCGTTTTATAGGAAGAGCAGCGAGGTTTCTGGCTGTTTGCCCGCCTACATACATTTTATTATTCGCGTTTTTTTCTTTAATATTTTTCTCTGTCTGTTTGGTTAGGGTTGGGGGGTTGGGGGTGGCTTGTTGGCTGTTAAAAAGTTACTGATGAAACGAGATTCAACCTTATTCGTTCTCAATTTTCTCCCGGTATTATCTCTGTGACTTGACTACATTTGGGTATCTTCAAGTTCCTTTAGCAATGCATCATCCCAGTGAATCCTACATATGGGCTACCCATGCTTACCCCGCCAGAGCTCAGGTTCAAGTACGTACTCGGACTCGGATTGGTTACCTCTCCACAATCCACAGTGCATCCTGTTTCAGATTGAGTCACTTTTAACCTGGGAATGCCAGTTCTCAGACCGGCAGTTGATTAGTTATCTACTAGATGGCTAGCTCAGGGACGTGCGTTTCCAAGCTTAGTTACGTTGGTCTATGCTTCTCGCGTGGCAGAAACACACTGTCCCGGCGGGTTGGAATAGGGGATAGATGTTGTGCTTGTATTAACACACTGTACGCACGACGACATGCGGGGTGCAGACGTGGGTTTTGTTTTTCGAAAAAGGAATTCGTTTGGGTAGGTTAGGCGATGCGGGGGGTGGGGAGGAGGGGAATTATAGGTGCCTGTAAGGTCTTAGGGGTGGGGGTACGTGCAGAGTGGGTTTTGATGCGGTTTTGATCATTGCCGGTCTAACTGAGCAAGGGTGGTTGTGGTTTTATGGAGAAAGGATTGGCGATATACCTAGAACCCGATTTCCGCGGAAGAATATTACGACAATACTCGGTGCTTTTCGGAAAAAAGAATATACGTATACAGAAGAGGCACATAACAGTACATGTAGGTACTTCAGACTAGCAATAACGGGGCAACGTTTGCATTATTCCTTTACAACCCCGGCCTCCGTTGTTAATAGTGTACGTATGTGATGTGCTAGGCCCAACGTGTCGTCCAAACAAAGGGTGCCGTATACGCAAGGAAATATGTGGGGGAGCAGTGGTCTCTCATGTCATCTCGAGGTTGAAATCGATCTTCCTCTATGATGACGAGCACGTACGCATGCTTTGGGAGTGTGTGGAAACAGTGATCTCTCATGTCATCTCGAGGTTGAAATCGATCTTCCTCTATGACGACGAGTACGTACGCATGCTTTGGGAGAGTGTGTGGAAATAGATGGAGGCGAAGCTCTGCAGAGCTCATACATACACGCATCAATCCACCACCGAACTTCGTAAGGGCCATGTGGCCATAGTATGATACATGTATGATATGAACTTTCTATCTATCATACGTATGCATCCATAATTTAATTAACCATTTCCTTTTTATTTTTTCAATACATTATACGGTTGCCAGACAGAACCTGGGAAATCTTCACTTCTTCGCCTTGATAAACCTGCCTTGGGTCCCAGCTTCGCCGCTCCCATGATATAAGCTGAGTCCGCATTCCCATAATAAAGATTACCATAGCCTGTGTCGTGTCGAGAGGGAGCGCCCCATTGTGCCTTAACTACCACGAGTGACGCCCCATGATTCCTTGCTGGCGACCCACCCAACGTAACAAGCTTTCTGCCCCACGGCTGAAATAATCCCTGCTGGTCTGGCAGATGCTCTTCGCTATCTGCGTGCTTACCGTCCGGTCCACAGAAGCCACATAACCGGCCTTGCAGATAGGCAGATAATATACCCGCAGCCGCAGCCGCAGCCGCAGCCGTAACCGATTTCTTTTTCTTTTGTACTAAAGTGACACAGTTTTCGATGGACGTGATGCATAGTAACACATGGTGCGAAACGACCTCAACGACCCGTGACAACATTAACCTTCACAGTCCAACCTATACGAGCTACATGTACTTTAGCATTCTCGGACCGTGGCAAACCTCTACGAGCTGTTCAAATGGCTCTCAGAATTTCATCACGCAACCGTGGCGGTCTATTTTGTCAGGGTTAGTTATTTGGCTCAGTGGAAAAGTTCCAGGATGCGGTTGAGAATAGGGCCATCAGTAGCAAGTTCGCGCACCGGATCTACCGGTCTGAAAAGTAAGGGGCCTGTCTAACTTGGGTTTGACTTCAGCTGACAGTATTTAGGTGTCGGGTTTTGTTTGTGAGCACAAAGGGTGTCCATACCAAAATATTGTGTCCTTCTTGGTGCGTTTAAGCCTACCCATACCTGTTTTGGATCGCTGGCTTACTCCTACAACCTAGAAACAAGAGGTCAACATGCCGTCCTACCAGCGAGAAAACGAGAATAGTTCCGAGTTTTTACAATAGTTGAGCTTCAAGTTCCTTGTATTCAGATTCAACAGTCAATATTCAACACCCAATAGTCGATATTCAGTAGTTGTAGTTCAATTGATTCAACACTTCAATCGTGATATTCAATTTGTCAGGGTCAAGGCGGTCACGGTTCGTTACGAATGGTTCCGAACAATGTATGCGTTACTGCACATCACGTCTGCCGAAAACTGTGTTCCCCGATTTTTCTTTTTCAAAGATAGAAACAGAAGGTTGCTTGAAAGAGCGCGGTGCATCAGTTATGCAGGGGTGCCGGGTCCGGAAGAATCGAACCATAGCAATATATGCCCGCCTATGTAAGAAAAAGAGACATCTCCTCCTTTGGCCCGCAATAGTTCGCTACTGCTTCTACCACTGTATTACAACTATTGATCGCCAGCAGAGAAAAAAGAAAAAACGTGAAAGGTGCAAAATGACACAATTGAACGCAAATCCAAAGGCCGAGGAATCGGCACCACTTCATATACTGATCATTGGTGCCGGAGTGGTCGGCACCACCCTCGCTCAAGCTCTTCGCAAGGTATGCGGCTCTCCTAACTCCCCGCCTGTCTATTACTGATAGGGTGCTAGTATAATATTCCATTCACAGTGTTCGAGCGCGACGTTTCCGCCACTTCCAGAGGTCAAGGCTGGGGAATCACAATCCACTGGGCGCTTCCAAGCCTGGACATATGCCTCCCCACACATATCCGCGAGAAGCTCTCCGATATTCAGGTTGACCCCGAACAGGGGAAGGTGGACCTGGGGAACTTTTTATTTATAAACTTACAGACAGGGGCAGTGGAAAGTAAAGTGCCGCCGAACAAAAGGTTGAGGATCAAAAGGGAGGGATTGAGAAAGTTGTTGTCTGAGGATATTCCTGTTCAGGTTTGTGAGATCTGTATTTCTTGAAGTCAGCAGCTAATACGCGGAGCTTCTAGTGGAACAAGAAGCTTGTAAATTTTGAGACCACGGACAACGGTGTGACAGCGTTCTTTGAAGATGGGACGACAGCATCAGGGAGCATCATTATTGGCGCTGAAGGGGCGAGGTCTCGAACCCGTGAAATCGTCTGCCCAGATATGTATCAGCTGCAGCCTCTCCCAATTCGGAGCAGTGGGCTCGCAGTTCAATTCACGCCTGAACAGGCCGCTCCACTCCGAGCCTATGATCCGCTCCTATTCCAGGGAATGCATCCAGTTACCGAGGTCTTTCTCTGGTTCTCCAGTGAGTCTCCTCCCCGCGTCTGCTCTTGATGCCGCTGACATCATCGGATAGCGATCGATACACCGCAAACCAATGCAACAGGCGGAGATTACTATACCATCCAATTCATCATCTCCTGGCGACCCACACCCGGCGAGGAAGCGCCGGCGGACTCAACAGAGAGACTCAAGAAAATGAAGCAGCAAGCAGCTGAATTCGCAGAGCCTTTTAGAAGCGCTATAATGGCCGTTCCTGAGGGGACGGAAGTGACGGATGTTAGACTGGCAGATTGGCCATGTCTAGAGTGGGATAATCGGCGTGGAAGAGCGACGCTGGTGGGAGATGCCGCGCATGCTATGACTATGTGTAAGTGGTTCTTCTTTATTTCCTTTTGTTGGTACCCACAGTACTGATGGTGAGACTAGATCGTGGAGAGGCTGCGAATCATGGAATTATGGATGTGGCGAAGTTGGTGGGTAAGTTGGTAGAGGTTCACGAGGGAAAGGTGGGGTTGAGAGAGGCAGTGGATGGTTATGAGGAAGAAGTTCGGACGAGAACAAGGCCGGCGGTGTTGTTGAGTAGGAAGGCCTGTATAGATGCCCATGATTGGAAAACAGTGATGAGGGGAGAGTCACCATTGATGGCAAGAAGAGCGGTGTCATTGAAGAAGGATGCCTAGACTTTTCTACCGCAAAGGTCAGCGGGACAGGTTTGTCCTGGACTTTATGGTAATTTGTCAGTGTCAGCGAGGCTTTCTCCCGGTGTCCCAGATATAGTCTATCAGTAGTCAGCATGCAGTGGCGGAGGGCCAAATATTAAATTCTGGGTCATCTAAAGTGAATCGGAGGTAGTGTTTCTAGATAAAGATATACACAACCTTACCACCAGTGCATGTATAATCCTTATCAATGCTCACTTTTCCAATGGTTTCTTTATTGATTGAAAAATCTGAACCCTTCTCTACTTTCTTGAGCCTTGGCCAAAATGCTAAAAAGTACGAGAAAAGCGAGCAAAACGAGATTTCTTTCTCAAAGCCTCAATCTGACAGAAAAGTATAACTTACCCAGTATTTTGTCAGTGCCAGGAGCCTCCTATTCACGGAAAACTACTATCAGTAAGAAACATCGTTCTAAATACAATTCTTGTGACTATATGTATCATAACCCCTTATCAACCAAGCCACTGCAATGTATGCGGAAAAACCTCGAGTTTGGTTGTGTTGTCTGTGTTTATTGTTTTGAAATTCTCTCATTTGTGGAAAGCTAATGGACGGGACTAAATAAAAATACATTCCTTAACAACGTATAGCCAGATTAAGGGTGGTAGATGTTTGTCAGGGAATGCCGGGCTGGATATAGGCTACTATAGCTATATAACCTACAATAGTACGTACACAGCTCGAAGGGATGAATTAATCTTGGATTATCACTCGAATATCTGTGCAGCGTGATATGTGGTTAGTTTTTCCCGTTTTGAGGTTGAACACCATGACATGGGGGGAGTGATAGGCAGTGAAATGAATTATTAGCTGTAGATTTGTATTGGACTACCGTTATTTCTGGGAAATAAGTCCATGGGCTTAAAGTAAAGCGGTGGGAGGAAAGCCAAGGAAAACTAATGGTGTATGCATATTCACGTGGCTTAAGCCAATCATCAAGGATCATTTACATTCTTTTCTACCACTACTTTGGTTTAAGCCCATGGGCTTATTTCCCAGAAATAACGGTATTCGATTGATTTCGTGATCATAAAGCAGGGACCGCAAGAGAGCTAGCTGGACCTCTACATAACCGCGATCGAGGGCCAATCCTTAGAGGCTAATAATTAATTCCTACTAGCTCAACCGCGGAATGAAAAATGTCTTCGCTTTGTGCCTGTATTCAAGGCCGAAATTCGAGGTACATATACATGTACAGAGGTTTTGGTAATTTGTGGTTTCGGTTGCAACACAAAGTTTGTATACAAAATCAGAAACGCTCAAATAATAACTTTAAAAATTAGATCACACGCGCCTGAAGAATGGACTTGTATTCTAGAATTCTCTGAGCTCCGTCTTGAGATAATTTCCAATTGTCCCTGAAGAGTTGGAATTTTTTTGTCCAATGCTGAGTGGTTGGGTTGGGTTGCTAAACATCTGTAAAAGGTATAACCTAATGCCAATGATAAGCAGGGCACCTTCTTGGCAGCAACGCGGGCTGCAAACGCTCGGACCCTCTAAACAAACAAGCTTCCCTCTCATGCTCACCATCGCCTAACTCCAAGCTCACCAAAACCACCCGCAACCTCACTTCACTACAAGCATAGAGACCCACCGAAGGCCCTAGTAATGGCGCCCACAGATGCCCAAATAGCCGAATCAGATGCCCTTAAAGCCAAAGGGAACGTAGCTTTCGGCAAACAGTACATCACCCAACCAACCCCACTATTACTACTACACCCCCCGCTAATCCGGGACAAATAGAGAGTTCACGGCCGCCCATAGCTTCTATACAAATGCTATCGCACTGAACCCAGCCTCGCCAACGCTCTATTCGAACCGTGCTGCAGCACTCCTCTCAATGAATAAGTTGAGCCTGGCCCTAAACGACGCAAACATGGCCATCAAACTGAATCCAAAGTGGGCAAAGGCACACCGTCGTAGAGCGAGTGTCTTGGACGCAATGAAGCGGTGGGATGAAGCAAAAGAGGCTTATAAGAAGGCTCTTGAGGTTGGCTTAGAGGAGGCAAAGGGACCGCAGGAGAAGGAGGCGGTCGAGGGGGAGATATTAAAGCTTGTTAGAGGTGGGTTCTGGGATATGGAGGGAGACGTAGGGGTATGAAGTGAAGAGCTAACGGGAGTAGCGATTGATGAAAAAATAGCGGATGCACCACAGGCCCCGGCCCCGCCGAAGTTTGTCATAAAGGAGGAGAACAACGTCGGCCATATAGTCATGAAGGAGTTCGAGCGACGCATTGCAAACGGGGAGCCCGTGGGTCAATGGCCGCCAAATGGATCATGCCTGCGTCGTATCTGGGTTGCGTATGTCACTCCTAACTCTCCAAAGTCTCCTCCACGCAGCTACTAACATCTGACAGAGAAATGCAATTCCAAAACGCCCTCAACAGTCTACACCAATTCTATGAAGGGCCCATCCCCGGCGCTCCTCCAGGCACCCGTGGCATCTTTGGTAAAGTCCAAACCATCGAAGAACTTACTACCTCTATTCTCGAAGATGGTCGCGTTGCCCGCTTCGACAACACTTGTCTCCAAAAGCTGCGCCTCTGCTTCGCGCTCGAGCAGCAGCAACGGAACGCCATCGGGCCCGGCCTTTCCCCTAAGGAAACAATCAGTGCCTACAACTCCCGTCTCGCCTCCGCACGTACCCAGGGGAATGGTCTCACTGATCCCGTTGTTGGTGGTTGGAACCAGGTCCGCCCCGCGCTGCAGCTCAGTATTCGTACCTCGCTGATGAACGGATGCATTTCGGGTGTGCTAGGCGCGCCGGGGAGCGATGAGCCAGAGTTCAGGCGCGCAGTGGATCTGATTGAGGAAGCGAGGAAAATGTGGCCGATGGTTGATGGTGCGATACGAGGGCGCACTCTGGAGGAGACCTTCCTGCGTGGTGTGAAGATCCTGCTGGCACAGGCGCTGATAAAGTCATACCAGCACACCCCGACCTCGCCGTCGGACCAGCAAAAAAAGCTCGACGATATCATGGAGATCGCAAACTGGGTGATTGAGAGCTTCATGCGGAACCCACGGCCACCAGAGAGTGAGCGCCGACACGGCTTTATGGGCGATGACGCATGGTGGAACATCTACTACGCGCACTACGCCACGCCTTTGGCAAAAGCATACACCTTCCGTGGCTTTGTGTACAGCCATACTGGCCTCCAAATCGATACCGATCGCCAGGAGGAGTACTGTATAAAAGCCGCGCACGAGTACATCACAGCCGCATCATGGATGAGCGCCGACGAGCCCGAGCGCGGGAACGCTCTCTGGAATGGCATCTTCACCATGTGTTCCAGCGAGGCATACTACCGCAAAGAAGACCTTCGTGTACTCGCCGATATGGCTAGAGGTGTTGGAAAATGGTGCGATGGTTACTTTCTGGAGCTTGAGGGTGCCCCTGAACATCTCGGGACTACAGCTCTGCGCGATGTACTCACGAGTGAGTGGTACCCTGATGAGGATGAGAATGCACCGTGCATGGTTGGTATAATGAGGGATATCTGGAAAGAGAGGGTTGAGAAGTATGGAGAAAAAGAGGAAGCAGTGGGGAGCGCTGCGATCTGGGAGGCTGTCGATGAGCGATTGAGGACACAACTGCTGGAGAGGATGGGATGGGATGATTAGGCTTTTTGCTATCTTTGGAGCGGTTTGCTGACTTTTTTAACGGCGTCTTTTTGGAATACCCCTTTTCTTTTTCCTTTTTCTTTTAGATGTTAGTCGTGAGTTGGCAGAGGTTGGGAAATACATATTTTGCAAGTTGGTGGTAATTAATATCATTTTTATTATTTCTATACGCATATCACTGCTTCCAAAGTTTCATCAACTATACTGCCTTCGATCTAATAATGTAATAAGGCCTACTTACACTATTTCTGCAGCATCAAACATTAAGTACATATTCCTGTATTGTAGGGGGAGGGCTGATAGCTTGAATTACATCTGGGGCTTCGGGTCCGAGCTCTTCATAACAAGATTAGACAAACAGCGCCTATTTTTAAGAGTGTGGCAGAATTTGTGAATAGATCTTAGAAGCTGTGATCTCCGACTGTTGATTATGTTGGGCCTGCAGTGCCTGCTGCATGCCTATACATATTGGGAGTAGATTTGGGCTTGGTCGCGGTTTGGGGGTCCAAGATTCGGGCCGAGTACATATATGTATATGCGTTCATTGGATCAACTTTTAGATACCTCAAGCACAACGTCCAGATTTTGTGCTAGCGGATGGAACCATTCAGAAAGAGGTTAATGCGAATCACATGATATCACTCGAGCCTTGGCAAGTTTCTTACGCTAGTAAATGTGACTACCGTAGATGTAATCTAAACGCTAATGTGAATTTTGCAAGTACTGGCATATCCAATGGCAGAATCGCTGACCAATTCATAAGAGACAAAAGTCCTTAAATAACTCCTTCTCTGACAAACGAATGACACAAACAAATGGAATCCGGTACCCTATATTCTCCTTAGGCAAACTTCGCCTCCACACTACTGTACGTCTTCCCTTTGAACTCGAAAGCGAACACCAGCGCATTCTGTATCTTCATAGAGAGATTGAACTGGATATGGTAATATGGCTGCCCATTCTCTGCAATCCTCTTATCGAACAGCTCTCGTGGCACAACGTTGAGGTTGGTTTTAAGTTTACACACAGTGAACACGTCTACATTGTAGGGCATTAGCAATTAAAAAAAGCAAAGGACAGGGGGTGGGGGTGGCGGTGGTAAGACAAAGGGGTATTACGAGGATTTTTCGCATTTTTGGGAAAATTGTCCATTTCACAGGCGAGAAGTGTGTTTTCGACGAAAAGGTTGTGTTCCATGCCGAGGGTAAAGTAAAAGGGGTAGGTAACCGCTTTCTCTTCTGATATTATGTCACCCTGTAGGATACGATTTAGTTTCATCCCTAGAGCTAGTAATAGCAGTGGTACTCACTTTCTTGATGAACCAGCTGACACGGTTGTCAATCTTCAATTCCCCAGTCATAGGATCCACAAAAACGTGTTTACGCTGACCCTTGGTGCCCCCGGTGCCATTGTGTTTCATTACGCATAGTACCCCATAGCTACGCCTAGCAAGCTGATTTCTGACCATCGATACCCCTTCTAAGCCTCTCTGACAGGCCCCACTTGCGACCGCCGTCCACCTAAACTATCGTCAATTTATATCCAATATAATAAAGAGGGACTAAAGACTCACGCATTGAGTGGATTCATCAATTCAATCATTTTAGGATCGCAAACAACACTCTTCAACCTAGCCTTCAAATACTCTGATGCACCAAATCCACCCACCAACAATACTGCCGAGGCTTTACGCCCACACGCCTCCACGCTAGCTATTTGCTGCTGTACGAGTTTAAGAACTTCGTTCACGACAGGGTCGAATATTTCTCTCATTTCAGCACGTGAAATAGAGAGAAAGCCATCCTCGACACCTGCGAATTCGTCATCTTGGATGCCTATGGCTGGGCAATGATAGGTAGGTTGAGAGGGATCGTCGGCGAATATTCGTTTGAGGTACTCCTCGAAGTATTTCATCATATTAGCACGACCACGAGGGCGCTGGTTATTGAATCTGTTGTATATTAGTTTTTGTTTTTTTCCATTGAGAGAAAAGGAAGAATTACTGAGTCAATCCAATCCGATTCTTGACCCAGGCTTCGAAACGTCGATTGATGTAGGTAGAACCGCACATTCCTCCACTGCCTATGACACATTCTTTAACTTCAAGTTTGGGTTCGAGACGAATAATCTCGTATGAGATTAGATCCTAATAATCGGTTATTACGTGATATCTCTTGAAGATATATAGCGATTTACATACCACTGTTCCGCCTCCACAATCTGCAACCACGAACGTATCGTTGACCTAGGAAATTAGTTGCTGATATATCACTAAGCAGGTCAGGTAGGTATATACTTTCAACATGTTTGGTTGTATAGCTTTGAGACTATATACTGCTGCTGCTTCAGGTTCCGATATCAAACGGAGGTTATTCTTAGTTCCTAAACCCAAGACCTCCGCTGCATATAGAGTCTGTGCTTTTGCGGAATCGCTCCATACCTGCAGTAATAATCTATCAATGACCCTTCCTCTCAGGTGTATGGTGATTTTGAGGTGAAACTTACTGCAGGAACCGTCAGAAAGTACTCAATGGGCGTAATTTCTATAAAATCTTTCCCAAAATGACTTTCAAGCACGTCCATGGTGTGATCTTTCAATCCCCTCAGAAAATCAATCACCAAATCAACCGGTTCTTTTCCTGGGGGCATGAGGGCCTTGGTTTTGGCAAGTAATTCATCTGAAAAGGAATCTTGAGACGGATCAAGGAGGAGCTTGATCCATACTAGCTTCTCAATTTCATTGGCAACATCGCAGCCCCATTTGTAGCCAGATGGGTATTCAGGGGAGTATTTTAGCTCGGTTGGTACCTTGTCGGTGGTTTTGTTGCCCTATGCGGAGACTTAGTGGGGAAAAAAGCGTTAGAGGGAGGTGGTGTTCTCACCCCATTTGGCCATTTTTGAATGACATTTATGTCATCAGGGGTTGCAGTATGGGCCTGGAAGTGGTATCAGAGCTTTTGCAGTCATATCTGGAGGGAGAGCATATTGCATACCCAGGCTACCCCGGAATAGGTAGTGCCAAAATCTATTCCAACCTTCAAAGAATGGATAGTGTCGGACATACTGTCTTTGCTGATTAGATATCATACACTATAACAATGTAGTAGAACTTACGCTTCGATAGAGAGGTTGAACAAGTGTTTGTTGTTGGTTCACCAGAGATAAACTGCTGTTATGTGAGTCCAACGGGTGTATGCTTGGTTATCAATAAAGTACAGGAGCAAACGAATTGACTACATACATGTAGCCTTCAGGCAGCAGCCAACACACCAAACCAATGGTTACCCACCCGTATATTTCAGAAAAGCAAAATAAATTTCGGATCCGAAGTTTAGATTCGATTATGGGCACAGCCCCACATATCTTAACTCTCCGCTCGCGTGCGAGTATTCTCACTGCGCTGAACTGAGAATGCCTGCCATTTACGTCTAGTAGCTGGAATTTGATTTGAGTCTGACAGTTTAAGGGATAAGTTAACAATGTTCCCGTGCATGTCCCGCAAACACTGGAGCCTGAAAGTTGTAAATGCGGGGCACCCACACTTACCCTCCTCCCAGCTGGCAGCTGCTGTGGGCTCTGAAATTTGTAACCTCCTAGTACCCTCCCTATCTACGGAGAATATAGAAAATACCACACTATATACCACTTCCAACACATGTCTGATCAACCTGTCAACCCTCTTATTAATTTGACTTCGGCTATCTTCCGGGGGGTATCTGGCGCACCCAGCCGTTCAAAGACGGTAGCCCCGGAACCTATTCCCCAAACACCACCACCGGCAGCGGTTACGTCCAGAGCGGCATCAACAGAGACCGCAAGTGCTAGTTTGAAGAGTGGTCAAGGCGGCAACCTTATCTACCATAAGGAACACCGTCCAGTTCCTCATAACTCGCAAGATCCTAGAGCAAAGCCTCGTAAAGGATTAGAGAAGCAACAGGATAGCTCTCGTGAGGAGTCGAACATGGAGGAATCACTATTGGATAGAGATGATCCTATCGAGGTGGACGATGATTATGTGGAGGTGTCTTCCGATACCATAAGCAGGGAGGAGCAAAGAGTGCGCCCTTCTGGAAGGACGCATCTCAAGTCCTCCAGAGATAAGGTATACATCGATCCAGTTTACTTGCATCACCTGGAACGGAAAGAAAGTGACACTAATAGTAGAGAGAAAAGTCTTCATCGCACTCCGCCGCCTATAGAGGGCCACCACGACACCCCCGGGACAAAGCAGCGGACATAACACTCCTCTACAAAGAACAGAACGCCAAACTCCTTGAAGCCGAAGGTACCATCCGTGAAAAAGACAAGAAGATAAACGCCTTAACAGAAACTATAACCCGTCTGCACCACCTCCGAGAGGGTGGAACCCCTCGAGATGATAACTACTTAACCGCCCAATTCTCTGACATCACAAACTCGATTACAGCATGGACTGTGACCCACTTCCGTAAGAGTCAATGGCAAACGATCACAGACCTTGCCGAACTACCAGCAGATTTGGTGCAACTGGTGGGGAATGTTGTGCATGATTCCACAAATATCTTGGGATCTATAAAGTCGAGGCGGGATCTTATAAATGCGATTGTGATCCATACTATATTCCTCTATTTATTTAGGCCCTTTCTTTTTGGCGCGCATGAGGCTGGAAATCACCTACTTGCCGTATGGCCTCAACTTCAAGGAACTGGTGAGTAAGGCATATAGAAATAAGGCTGCATCAAGAGATTAACAGACGCTATGGTATAGATTTTCAAATTCAACGTTGGCGTGCACTTACTGTCAACCTGCTCGCTCAAGGCCCCGCTTATGAACACCAATGTAATCAGGACGTCTCCTCAATCGCAGTAACTCTCGCCAAGTTGTTAGCACACCTGGCACCTATAGAATCCGACGCGGAATCTAGAGATGCTGATCTTCTTAAGATTGTGGGCCGTGCAGCCGCTTTGTCTATAGAGGTTCGTTAGATCTAATTAATACTTGCCAATAGCTCTCCTGGAAAAATGCTCACACAAGCTATCAGATACGCAAGCAATCCGACCTCATCTACCTCATACCCGTAGAACCCGGAGCGCTGTTCAAATCAGACTTCATGGAAGACCTCAATTGCGAGTATGAACTGGACGAATTAGAGGGAAAGGCAATTGTGCAGGTTCCTATTTTCCCAGCCGTCATGAGAAGATCTTGTCCACCAGGTGGAATGTTGGATGCGCCACACAATTTGATGAAGGCAAGGGTCACGACTATGTTCGTCGATAACGAGTAGTTAAATAGGGAAGGCCAGTGTGTTGAATATCGTTCACTCATCGACCCGAATTTGGGGGATCATCTTATCTTGCGCTCTCCATACGTTAGTGATGGGGGATTTTTGCTTCTTGTTAAGAATGGTTTTAATCTTGACTGATTAGTTACCATGCATATGCAAAATAAGTTCTCGGTAAATGGAGGGCCTGAATTTAGCAGGGCTGTCTAAAGTTGTGCATGCTGGCAAATGCCTATGCGTTCGCGAATGCACTTACCAGAGTAAATACGGTCACAGTGGAGATTGACATTCAATAGCTACATAGGCCTGGTGAGGAATGTTCTCTTGTATCTCTAGAAGTAGGCACAGACCAGGTTTAATCAGATAATATCCGTTGACGCCTTCACGATAAATCACTCGGGGCCGCCATTTCATATTTAGCTCATAATTCATATATACACCCTTCGTGCAGAGCGATGAATAAATATATGTACTTACAAGTGGTTTCCAGCCTTTGGCCGGTACTACACGTACATAAATCAGTCCAATATACGTATAGGTAATATAAGTTCTCTATTTGCCTGTCAGTCGGGGCTCTCAGGCCGCGCAGCGGCCCTCAACCCCTCCTGGTAGGTAATGTTTATTTCTATATCTGCTGATATCCCCCATATATCAGTGGATATATCAGACAATTTCACCAGTACAAGCTGTAGGGATATCCCTTTAACAGCTACTAATCGATTCCCAGAACTGGTATAGAACCTATCAATAACCTAACACCGCTCAGCACAACACCCTATACTCATATCCAACAATAACATTTTTCAAGTGAAACAAAACCTCTCTCTCAATAAGCCAATCAGAAGCGTTTAAAAGCACATGCATATGCAGGTTATAATTATATACTTATTATAGTAGATGTAGAGCCACATGTATGTAAATTTGATTGCGGTACAGTCGGTAACAATAATAAACATGGAACAACGATGAACTTGAATCCATGGAACAATCAGCGTAGCTTAGATATCACTGTTTCGACCGCCAAAAACTCCTATCTATCGTTCAACAACTCACGTTGTTCCCTAAAATCTCAAGGCAGTGAGTCGGTACTTAATACTAAATACGTTATATTCCGGAAAGAAGATGTTAATATTTATGAGCTATGTCTGTTTAGGAAAATAGTGATGTTATATAATTGAAGAACTAAATTTGAAGCCCATTTACGACTTATCCAAACCACAGGTGGGAAGGAAACTTATACGCTCGTTGTATCTGAGGAGCTAGTAAAAACATCTGAGGTACGCGATTTGCTCTTAATTATGATGGGATTTCTTCCCTTAATGAGGTCCGCTCGAAAAATAAAGTCTGAATGCATAGAACTGTATCCTCATCCTATACATGCCTTGGCGTAAAGATTACGTTCGTAGGTGCCATTATTGTTGTAAACAGATCTTTTGATCTATTCAACATCTGCATCCAAAGTCAGTTATCCGGGGCGCAGTAGATTAATCTATAATATTTAGGGTGCACGTACTTCCCAGGCATCTACGTTTTCCTCCGCCAGGCTAATATCGAACTTGCGCAACAATTGTGAAGTGACGATTCGGAGTTGCATATTTGCGAGTGGCTTACCAACACATTCATAGGCGCCTACATGAATAGAGTAGGGTTAAACAATGTACAGGCTTATCCGTGAGGTGAACATCTTACCGAGCCAGAAAGGGGCATATGCTGATCTTTGTCTTGCAAGCGTCTCTTTATCAGCTTCGTACCATCTCTCCGGTTTAAACTCTTGTGCGTCCGGGAACCATCTTTCGTCTGTGGAGCTGTCAACACTTATATATCTCCCAGATTCATCGGATTAAGGAGGCTCACCCATATGAGCAGCCCGAAAACAATATATCGCATTTACTCCTCCAGGGACACTAACGCCATCCACCACGATCCCGTCATTTGGTGTCATCCTTTGCACACCATTCGCGACTGCCGGGCTCATCCTTAATGCCTCAGTTATCGTCGCCTCTAAATGCCTAGTCGCTGGTGTTCCCCCGTTTATTATCTCCTTTGGAACCCTTTCGTCTGGATATGCGTCATAGATTGCATCAATATCGGCCCGGAGCTTGCGAAGTTGGTGGGGGTGTGTCCCGAGCAGGGTGAATATGGCAACCAAAGTGGCAGATGTTGTATCGCTATTGACATATGTAAATGAGGAGAGAATGATTGAAGAGCCAGCTATTTACCTTGCTGCGACCACTATGAGGCGAGTTTCTCCCATCAGGGACAGCTTGTGTTCTCCCACGTTCTGTGGTTCAGCGTCTAGAATATATGAAAAGATATCTCTTTCCTTTGGTGTATACTAAAGTTGAACATGATAAGTCGTTGTCTGATTATTCGAGTTATAAAAACTGTTATGACTACATGTGTACTTACCGCCTTTCTTTCACCAACCAAATCGGTACAAAAGTCCAAAAATCTTTGAACATCCCCTCCAGCACCTAGCATGCTTAGGATGGTGAATGAGTAGCTGACTTGCCCTAAAGCCGATATCACATATGCAGAATCATGCATCACGGCTTTAAAATCAAACGCGCCGACTCTCTTCTCTGGCTTCATATAATTGAACGGTTTTCCAAAGGCTAAATCGCCCATGATGTCTAGCATGAAATTATTGAACCAGTCGGTGACATTAATAGGACTTCCCGCATTTTTGGAGATGTGAGACATAAGGGTATCGGTATACTTCAATACCCGTGGGAGGTAGTCCTGTACGGCTGGGAAAGATTAGCTTGACATCCTGTGACTATAGGAAGTTGGTGAGAATACCTTTTGTGGTGAAGGCTTTATCCCATACCCTTCTGCGGATTGCGTGGGTTTTGGAATTTCGCGTGGATTGAAGACTGTGCTCCCCATCAGCAAAGTTATACCACGTCCCCTTTTTCGCCCTTGCTAAAGCTTGAAGACCGTCGGCGTGGTTTATCGAAATATCGTTTGGACCTATATACATACCCGATTAATTCAATACTTTCGGCTGGCTATGTCCACAAGGCACCTGCGGCATCCGGACTTACCTATTCTGACAATATCACCATACTTCTTATGCAATTCAAGCATGACAAGATGGTATTGCCAATTCGTCTTCCAATGAGTATATGGTATCCAAAATTTGGTTACTTTCGCCCAAAACGGCCCTGGAAAGTTTCTCAACGGATGAAACCATATTCTATACACGACCATACTACTCCACATCCCTAACAAAAACGACCCATAAATTGTTGAGGTCAGCTCCACACATGACCAGAATGGAAGTTTGAGATGGAACTGAAAAAGCGATTGAACGGCAAGCGGAGCGAATATTGCGACAAGAAAAATTTGTTTTGCGATGAGATCTCTCTCAGAATGGCAGAAATACGTTATGTGAGAAGTAACTGCTGTAGTGAAGGATATAAGAGAGAGTTGGTAGAGTGGGAGGTCTGCGAGGACCGTGAGGCCTCGGGATAGTCGAATCGCTATATTGCTGGCCATTTTGGCGTTTAGAGTTACATACATTAACAAATCAAGAAAGCTGGCCTTTGGGAAATAGCCATTATATATCTCAGAGCGGTGTGACCCACCCGCGTCGTTCGTATCGGTGTGTACTCTATGTTTGCACCTCCCAATTAACCGCCAGCGGTCAACGCCACCTGATCCGAAAGTAATTGGTAGCACAAAAAATGGGCATGGATCGGACGTCAGCAAGGTATCGAGAAGAACACCGAGGCAGGATCATCACGTTCCCCGGCCCCGGGTAGTCTGCAAGTTGAGAAGATGGAGTAGGTACCTACATACATGTAGATCTCCAAAACCACTAGACTAGATTCGCAGGGGAGGTTACCTGAGATGCAAACTTGCGGCGTAACCGGAAGGTGCAGTCGCACCTCGCTATCTCGTAATTCGATATCTCGGATCTCTTGCTGTCTCGTATATTTGCTATCTCGTAAGGGTTGGGCTCCCAGAATACGCTTACGGCATAACGAGGTGCGACTGTACACCCATGTATGCTTGTACTCTACTCTAGGTATGTACTCTACATGTATGTATGGCTATACATATGTACTCTACACGTACTCTACTCTAGGTAGAGTACATGCACCTACATGTACCTACATGTACCTACATCCTACATACATACATGTACATGTATGTACATGTATGTATATTCGTGGACGTAATGGGATACAATAGAAAAAGGGTATGGATTCGCTACGTTATTCCCGCTAATGCGCTAATAATGCAGCAAGAATACGGCATATATAGTATGGTGGTAAGATGGCCACAATGTAAATTAAATAAATAAATTCGTCTCCCGTTAAACTCTTGTTAGGTCATGTATTCAAAAATAGGACGTACTAATAGTAACGCATAAACCTAGTCTAAGTGACATAAGCCTCATGGCAAACTAACCTTAAAACTCCGTTATATGATTTGAAAACGCATATCCAAGCGGCCCTCTGTACCTTCTGACAAACTCTGTCACGACTTACACCCAACTATTACCGAAAACCCGGCACGGAGTTCCTATCTTCACTCATCCAAAAAAAAAAAAAAAAAAAGAGAAAAAAAAGAATAAGAATCTCACCCCTGCATGCAACACTCGTAAGCGAAAATCGCGTGTTTCCTCCCGTTCAAAAACCCGATTGGTCTCGCACCTTAGAGATTCAAAACAGTCCCAGTCTCAGTTGAAAGGGGAAACCTCTCTTCCGTCCCTGGGTTGGAACGTCATGACAGGCCTCCTTGGCGAAACAAGACTTTGCTCTCGTTGATAGGCGCCACTGCACTAGGATGTTTGGACATGATTGGCTGGTCGCTGGCCAACCTCAACTCGTTGGGAGCCGCCAACAGGGATTAGTAGAAGAGACGAATCTGTAACAGGATGTGTCGTGGCTGGGTTAGCTCTTGTGGGAGCGGTATACATGTATTTATATAGGAGATCTGTTTCCCTCTGAGAATTTGTGCCTTCTTCTTTCTTGTTGCTGGTTCCGTTCTTTGGTTTGGCACATGGAGAATATCCAAGGTGCGTTTTTCTTTTCATTACATTCGAATTCTATTATCTGTCAATCCGGCCGGCGTTGAGCGCCAATTAAATATCTAATATACTTATTCTTTTTATACAGCTAAACACCTTACATATACTTGAATTCAACATCTTTTGGAATCATTACATTCTTCTCATATATAGTCACTTCAACGACTACGATAATGATCTCGCCATTCCAGATTTTCATCTTGCTCGGGATAGTGAACTTCTCGCAGGCTTTACCGGCGTATATACCAGTACAGAAGTACTACAACCACTCCTTTCTCCTCGAAATCATTCTAACTTTGATATTCAGTTCTAGTTCCTCGGCCCTCCACTCGACACTCACAACATTCACAACTTTCTTGCCCACCCTCTTCCCGTCAATGCCAATACCACAGAACACCTCCATCGCAGCTACGCCGTCCTCGATATCTACGTCCACCCTCTCACCTCCATGCAAAAATAGAACTCTTGCCCTCTCACCTACTTTATCGACTGCCAGAGGGATACTTGTAGTGACTACAACTGTGGACCGTCACCACTTCGTGGAGGTTGCACCAGTGACAGTCACTACTATAGAGAAAGTGACGGAGACAACGTCAGAGATGCAAAGAGTAACAGAAACACAGACACAGAAGATCACGGAGACAAAGATGGTCACCATAACAGCCAGCGGTGGGATGGAGCGGGTTACGGAGACGTCGGTGGTTACTGTGACAGAGAGCGGTGTAACAGGGACGGAGGAGGCCGTAGGGAGCACAATCATTCTTTTACCGCTACCTAGTAGCAGTATTACAGAAGCTGTTACAACTATGACTACGATTGCGATTATCACTACGGACGTGACCTCGGTCGTGACTGCTATTCTCATGCCTTCTACTACCGAGGTTATAGATGTAACTACTACGGAGCAGGCTACAGACATACCCACCAGTCAAGTTACTATAACAAGTACAAACAGCGGCCAAACTACGGCCTCAGACACTACAGCTCCAGAACTGACGAGTAGCGCACAGCCAGCTCCCATACCAACAACTACCGAAACTACTATTGTGAAACCCACGAGCACTGCTGAGCCTGCACCCGTGATAACAGCCACTCCCGAGCCCACATCCGAAGTTGACACTGGTTTAAGATCATCAACGCTCCTCCGCATCTCTATAAGCCGCCTATCCCCCCCCCCAGCACCGGCCTTTGAGACTGTAGCGCCAATAGCCACAGAAACACCAATCGTCACACCACCACCGGTGGCAGCGGGGGATGATGATTCGGAGACACCGTCGAATCTACCGGATTGGGATGATGTGAAGGGTTTTGCAAGTACATTCGCCGGCGCTTAGTTTGAGAGCTTTGGCGCAAGACTTTCCCCTCATGGATTGAGGATTTGTATATACTTTCATTTTTGCGTATAATACTACATTGGAGTTAATAGGGTGGGCCTTGATGGGGTTTTTGCATAACGGGCCTATGAGCGGGTTATGATTTAAGGTTATAGAGTGTAGAGAGTCTCTCATTAGGAGGAGGCTAGCGTTAGACGCAAAATCTTCTATTCTTTTCTTGGCTTTATTACAGTAATTGTCGACCTATAGTGCTCGAGACAACTAAGTTCAAACTTTGTACAGATGTATGACGAGGACCATCTGGTACTGACTATGGCCTACTCCATTCTGCGAGATCGCTTGACGTTAGGCTCCGTGATATCTCCCTGGTTTTCACTAGAGTAAAACCTTTTTGTCTGTTGAAGCCGTTAGATCACTAGCTAGAAATTGAAAATAGAGCAATGGAATCCCATACCACCTGAGCGCCTTGGTATGAAGGTACAGCTAAGACTTGCGTTTGGACCACAATTTCGGGCTTATCTCGACGACGAACACTCCCAGAACGTCCAATACCACGATGTGTGGAGTTACCGGTCGTATAATTGCCCCTAGGTTCCGTATCCTGGCTGAGCGGATGATAGAGATTTGGAGCCCATGCTAACGGGGAGCTTAATAAGTCACTGGTACCAAAAGCAGGGAAGAAACTCCCTTCGGGCTTAAAATTGTCCGTGGTCACCGGCCCGGATCCACCAATACTCGCAAGAGGTTCGTAATATTCGCCACCAAAATCGTTCGACTCACAGACTATTTCACCTGCATCTTCCCCCCTGTCATGCTCAGTAATATGAGGGTTGGAATTCATAACACTGGGGGCTGGTTTCTCGAGGCATCTATTGCCTCCCTCCAAACTCTTAGGGCGAAGGGAACTAGTTTCAAATCCCGAGGATCCAAGTGGTGCCGCCAGCTTGCTTATTGGCTTCCAAACAGTGTATGCTTCTCTGAGAGAGAGCTCCGTAATATGCTGACCCTTCAAGCCCTGATCATTCGGCTTACACAAGGGCTTAGCCATGGTAGAGCGTTTCTTCGACTCCCCCGGCGGTTCAGACAGCTCTGATTGTTTGGCGTGTTCATTGAATGCAAGTGGCCTCAAAAACTGCACCAGATCCTCCACGCCTCGGCGAGTTCCCCTCCCCGTTTGAATCAATTTCATTTTATTCAAATGTTCTTTTGAAATTAGTTCTAAGTAACATCCCGTTCTATAAGGTCGAAACTTACCGGCTGATCGATAATTGAATACAAATCTTGCATAGATATCTTCCTCAAGAAATTTATAAAGATGTCGCCTTTTACCGAACTTAACAGGGAGTGCCTCTCCAATCCTAGAAACGGGTTAACACTTACCCAAGAGAGCCTGATAACAGGAAAATAACGCTTGTGTAATGCTGAACACATAATGGAGGGTGAAAACGTACTGGATCATATGACTAGAATCTCCCACATTCGTTTGTTTACTTTCGTGAGCGATTGGGGCTTGATCTTTAGGATTTCCAGAGCCAACAATGCGTATTTTCCTCAATTCCACTCTGATCTGACCATGCTTTGCAATAAGTGGCTCTTGTTTGCTCTTTTCGGTCCTAAGATTCTGCATCATCTCTAGGAGGTCGCTTTCCGCAACATCCGAAGCGGTTTCCCCAGTGGGGGCCCTTTCAATGCTAGCGCCAGGATCACTCATTGAAAGAGTCTTGACAAAATTCTCCAAGCCAACTTCTTGGAAATACCAAAGTCTTTCAATGGCTTTTCCATTACCATCACTGGTAATACTACTATCCATCAACCGCTCTTCCGCCCTGACATGCCACGGAAGATAGACGATTGTCGTAGCTTCTGGAACCAGACACTCGTCTAGATAGACTTCAGCTAGCAAGTGCCATTCAGAAGGATTGTAGGGGTAGTCTTCGGGCCTATTACCTCCTCTCCTGTCCCGATGTACGTGTTGGTCAATTATTATATCTGGTGCAAAAAAATTATCGTCAGGTTTGACAACGATGCCAAATCGGATTCCCGTTTGCGAGAGAATGTATGATTCACAAAGAGTAGAGTCTAAACCGATCTCTGTGCCTAGGGAAGTAAGTATACCCCCGGCGGCGCAAACCTCAACCGAAATTTTCTTCAATTTCGGCATTACGCAGGTTGGGGGATGATCGAGAATTGTCGGGGAGCGGGAAGGGTTTCTGTAGGAGTGGAGAAGATTACACAGAGTGTTCGGAGTGGTGCGAGTAGTGGGGTGGGTGGTGGTCCGGAGGGTTCGGACGCTGGTGCCGCGGACTCAAGCTTGCTATGTGGCGCGCTAGAACGCCGGTAGACTACACCATCTACACGTATAGTATTCTCTGGATCAATGGCGAATTGGTCAATGGCGAAGGACCAGACTAGACGATAATGCTGTCGATACCACCCGCGCGGCCACAATCTACTAAATATTCATTTTGTTTTCTTCTACATGACACATACATGTACTTTCATCATTTGGCATATATTCTTTGCCTTCTGCGATTTATTTCTTTATCCTGCGTTGTTATTTCTTGATCTAGATCCAAATCATGGTTCTCCTTGTTTGTTTGTATGTATTGTATATACATGTGCATGTGCATGTTCATGTAGGTATTTCAACAGTGGAGCTGATCGATGGCCCCAGCGGCCAAGTACACAATCCCACCATATATTGAAAACAGACTTGCGATTTGTGCCTACATCTTGTAGATGGCCGGTTCTTCCGCAGATCTGACAAACAAGTGCGCATTCGCAATATGCCTGAATTGACTATGGCGGTAGTGTAAGAGCTGTACTAGGGTGTAGCGAAAAGTGATCAGAATCTGATAAGACAAATACATGTATTCACCGCAGCATTCACTTATCAGATTCTGATCACTTACCCTCAACACCCGGTACCTCGCACCTGTGTAACAGTGCATGCTTGCATGATTTAGCGTTGTACAAGATCGCGACGATGAGGCTTAAAAGCTTAGCTAGCTCATCGTCAACCACGTGCGCGGCTCGTTTGGGCTGAGTCAGCTAGACCCTGGATCCTAAAAGACCCGTCCCCTATTAGGGCCGGAGTGGCATAGGTATATTTACCTTTACAACAAATATAAGCTTCCCACAGAACCCTCCCCCTATATCTCTTATACCCATCAACTCCGTCTTTTAATTAATGTCTACCCCTCTCTACGATGCTCCTCCACGCGAAGTGGTGGTCCCCCCACCGTCAACCACTTTTGAACCCTCATCAATCACGATCCACCCTACGGAAAACGCGTTTGCCGACTCCCATGGACGTACCATATTTCTACGAGGCATTAATGTATCAGGAGATGCGAAATATCCCATGGAAAATCCTGTTGCCGGTACTCCCGAGTTCTACGACGCGAGCACCGTAACTTATATCGGCAAACCGTTTTCAAGTGTCGAGCAAGCCAGTGAGTGGTGGACACGCCTTAGAGCTTGGGGGATTGGTATAGTAAGGATGGTTATTACCTGGGAAGCTTTGGAACCTAGAAAGATGTCAGTTAAAGCTTATGTTATTCAATTAAAGCATTCCTGGGTACTAATGTGAAATTAGGGGAGAATATGACGAGAAATATATTGATTATATATATGCAATTCTAGAAAAAGCACATCAGGCAGGTTTGATGGTGTTTATTGATGGTCACCAGGATGTCTGGTCTCGATATACCGGTGGGTCCGGAGCTCCCTTGTGGACCTTTCACATGGTCGGCCTGGACCCCAGTACTTTCCCGGCCACATGTGCAGCAGCTCTCGATGTTTCTGGAGCAAGCACATCCCATTCAACCCCCTCTGGTCGTTTGTGGCCAACAAATTATTCGAAATTTGGGCCGGCTACCATGTTTACTGTATTTTATGCCGGCGAAGTTTACGCCCCAAAAGCGGTATACTCTGGGGATATACCCGAATTTCAGGGCGAAAACATTGGTTACGTCTTGCGTAGTGCGTATATCAAAGCGTATGCACAACTTGCATCCCGCTTGAGTTCGTTGTCCAATGTACTTGGCTATGATCCCATGAATGAACCGCACCCTGGCTATATTGCGTTACCATCGCTACATCGCCATAATGAAAACACAGAGCTACACCTGGGGCACATGCCTAGCGCTCTTCAATCTATGGCACTCGCAGCCGGCCTCCCAACGCCTGTCGGTTACTTCGAACGGACCTGGCCTCATCCATCAAAACGAGTGAGGGACGACATTCTTAATAAAGAACGGATCTCAGCGTGGCTTCCGGGTAGGAAAGATATTTGGTTGGAGGAAGGAGTTTATATTCTTCCTGAAGATAAAGAAAATGGGAAAGTTACATTAGGGCCTAGAGGGGAATCTTATTTTGCAACAAACCCAAATACCGGAAAGAAGGCAGACTTTGAGAAGGACTTCTATGTCCCATTCCTGAGATCCTTTAAGTTGGGTATTGCCCGTGCCCTTCAAGATTCATTGGCTGGACGTTGGATGTTTGTTGAACCTGTCCCAAATCTGGGCCCACCAGCTTGGGCAAAGGGCACGAACCCGCCACCGGGGGAGAAGATTTGCTACTCGCCACATTGGTATGATATCCGAGTACTCTACGAGAAGGCTTTGTGGTATGGAGTGTCTTTTGACACATTATCACTTGCAGGCGTAAGTCTTCCCACTAGATATATCCTGATTCCTATTAACAAATTCAGGGCTCTCGAAAACTCTGGAAGCACACCTATATTGGCCGCAACGGACTGACAGCCAACTATGCGGATAATTTCCAGCGTTTCATTTCGCACCTAAAAACTTTTCGCCCTGAAAAACCAACACCAATCTTGATAGGCGAAACAGGGGTCCCATTTGACATGAACCTCCAGTCCTCCTACATTACTGGCGATGTTCATATCCCATTAACACAGCTTGACGCCATATTCCACGGCATGGAGAAATCGCTCCTGAACTGGACTGTCTGGAACCTAACTTTGTCGCATTCCACAACAGCAACACCAGAATCAATGCCTGCTGACAACGAGACCTCCGCTCCAATTCAATCTGGAGATAATTGGAACAGCGAAGATTTCTCTCTCGTCTCACTCTATGCAAATCCCACCGTTGAAGTTCCACTCCACGGTACCTCAAATAGTCCCCGAGACCTCGAGAAACCCTTAACCCGAGCAGCCTTGTTCGGGAACCTCTATCTGGGTGGTCGACTCCTCCCAGCCCTTTTACGGCCTTATCCTGCAAAAACGGCAGGTATTGTCATTAACTCGGAGTTTTTTCTTGATACTCTCAGCTTTGAACTACGGTTCATTGCTAACCCTCCACTTCCACCACTTCACGAGGCTGGTCTAGAAACAACAACCGAAATTTTTGTTCCAGTGTATCATTTCTCAGGACGTGAGTGCATCCTCACTATCTCTGTATCTGGCCTAGGTCCAGAAGAGGAAACGACAATTCATAGACCACAGGTCAACGGACGAGTAAAGAGTGGGATTGAATGGACATGGAACGAAGCGGAACAAGACTTAGCTATAGTCCATGATGAGCGACATGCAGGAAAGGAGGTTAGTGTGACTTTGAGGGCGTTAGTGCCCGGAGAGGTGGCGGTGGAAAAGAAGAATTGGGCAGGCGCGCTAGTGGGCATGTTTGTTTGAAAAGGAGATTTATTTTCATTTTTTTCTACCTTTATTTTCCCGGATTTAGATTTAGATTTGAGTTTGATTGTCGTGCGAAAAGGTTAGACTTTGGCTAGGTGTGCGTGTGTGGTCACTGTAATACGTACATGTAGTTTTCTGCTGTTTTAATAATTTGAGTAGAGTGGATAGAAGTGCATAAAATTGTACGGCTGTGATTATTAGAGTAGAAATAGAATGAATAAAGGATATTCAAGGCGACATTGTAGATGAATTAAGGAACTTTATATTCGAATCAGATAATATCACTCGGTTTCCGGAATTCGATAGATGGCAGTTTTGGATACCAGAACTCATGTTACCGCTTGAGCCAGTCTCGTATCCATCCTCTACGAGGAGCACTGGGTACAAGCCTACGCCCGAGCCTACATGTATGTACATACATGTAAATGTATCTATATGTGGACTTAGGAAAGAGCTGTACATGTGTGTGCAAGTTCCATGCACTCCCATGTGCTTAAAGGCTTAAAAAAATCCCAGCATCCTTCCCATCCCAATCATAACCACCAACACCACAATCGTCCCCAGGTCTCTAATCATGAACTTACATTCCATCCACACTAAGAATTTCTACGATCTCCCTAGGGGTATAGCAGTGAATATTTTTAGTTTTCTCCCCCTGACCGCTCTCCTCGGTGCTCAATTGGTCAGCAAACGTTTCTACGTCCTCACAAACGGAAAGGAATTCAAGCATTGTTTTTTCCTCTCGTCCCCACCATTATCGTCCCTGTTACCAAGCACGGAAGTATTTCTTCATCCAGTCTTCGGCAGACTTAACTTTTCCGCCTACCACTCTCCGAAAGTCATCAGGATTGGGGATGATCTTGATAGTCTCAGCCTCTACAAAGCGAAAGTCGGCAAGCAGTTTGCAACCTATCCCGCCTTGAAGAATGTAGTTCTCAGGGTGCTCTCAGGGGGAATTTGGTCGTTTTCGACAGAAATTAAAGTGGAGAATGATGATGGGGTTACTGTATGGGACGTTATCAATGAGTCTACAACCTTGTATGTTCTTCCCGCCAACTCTTAGTATGTAGATGTTTCTAATAAGTTCGAGCAAAAGCTTCAAGAGTTACACCAAGGTTAGCTTCGCAGACCATTTTGGTCTTGATGTCTGTGAAGAGCGTGGCTACGATCCTAAGGTTCTTATGCAGAACTATGACTTCCTCGATCCTATGATGTAAGTCCTTTAATCCTATCTTGAAGATTCTCTGTAAACTGATAGCTGCTTTGTAGGTCCTTCCCAAAAATCTTATTCCTTGATCGTAACAGCAAAAACACAATTATTGCTGATTATGACTTCAACAAGTTTGCATCTCTACCACTCATCAAACGTCCGGCAGATTGGGATATTGGTGATAATTATACTGGTGAAAACGGCCAGGCAATAGAGGTGCAAGAGGCTTATGAAATTACGTCATGTATAGGTAGTGGCGAGGATGGGGAGTTGGTAAACGCTCAGGAGAAGGAAAAATTTGGAGAGACTGATTTAAACAACAATGAAAGGAGGAAAGAACTATCTGCTTCCGCATTACGTACTGCTGGAACCGAGTCTATGGATACAGCTGATGGGGTTTTGTCTGCCTCTGCGAAGGAATCCTTGATCTTGGAAAATATTAATCATGATACCCCCGCGCCGCAGGGCGAGAAGGATATGGCCTTGGAATCTTTAGGTGGTGCCTCCACTCAGATTGAGAATACGGCAACAGTTCTTGAGAGCCTTGCCCTCGATGACCACAAAATGCAAGACGGTGATTCTTATACAGCCGACGAGTCTACTTGCCAGGTTGCCGGGTCCACGCCGCTGATATACGACATTGAGTTAGAGGCGATCCAAGTTGATCTCACCCACGAAAAGAAAGTTCTATCGCCTATCCGGGATGACATAGATGAGCCTAGTACTCTAGATATTACGCTTCCTCAAACCCTCCATACACCAAAAACCGACCTCCCTGATCTTAAAATTGACGCTGGCAACGAGGACGATGACAATCTCGACATCGCATCAGGCAAAACCTGGACCGTTATGGAGGAGGAATCGGACGATTGGGAAGATGCATTTGCTTAACTAGTTCTACTTAGAACAACTATTTTGCGTGGTGAATTTAACAAGCGTTGCCAATGTCTAAAGGATAAACATAATTAATGAAATCTGCTTGATGCTCATTTCAGTAAAGGGTTCTGTGCAGTTTATTATCTTATCACCCCCAGAACTATATACTAACAGTTTTCTCGAAATCCGATGAATTCTCAGGTGTTCTCGCAGCATTAGCGGATACTTCCTCTTTTCTAAATGTCTGTTTGTTTTAGGTACCCTTCACGCATTGAGCACAACCCCTTCGCCTACAAGTAGATTCTCAGAGACCCTAAGCTCCTTGACTACGGTGTTCTTAACTCCAGCTGATGCCAAATCGGCTTCGACCTTTCCACGATCCCACGTAGTCTCAGTCAGATGGCTCGAGACAAAGCCCTCGACAACTTTAACTTCATCATGAGTTGAAATCCAAATCCCCACATCTGTAGCTTTGCATATCTCCAACCCTGCTGGGAATCCGCTCGAGATCTCGCCGCCCATGAAACTGTAGATATGCTTGAAAGGATGTAGGAGCAGTGTCAATTGGGGTTTTTTGCCGGGCAAGCGTGAAAACCACGAGCGCAGGGCAGAAAGTGGGATACCATGAGGCGTGAAGAGCGTTGAAATCATCTTCGTTGTTGAAAACGCTTCAGTGAAAAAGTACTTTATTCCGATCGCGGAATGGAGTCCCGGCATTTCCCATGGCCACTTGGCGGGGATAAACTCAAGCTCCAACCACGCCGGGCGCTCAGGATGCTGCGCATTTGGAATAGCGACACGAACGCTTTCACCCTTTTTGAACACGGTCATACGAGAGGAAGGAAACCATTTCCAGCCTTTGATGGTAGAGCTCGCGTCTGGACAGGCGTACAACCGCGTACCCAGATGTGTTGACCAGTCGAATTCCTTTAGTGTTTCCTCATGGCAATGATCGGACTTGCTTTGAGAGATGATTATGAGATCTGGGGCTGACGATATCTCAAGGAGAGAGTTTACGGCAGGTTTTACGGTATGTAGCTGGTTGGAAAACCGGGGGTGGAACACAGGGGCATCCGAATGTAGCCATGGGTCTAACAGGATCGAGAAATCGCCGTCTTTGGAGGTTGTATCCGCGAGTGTAGTTGTACCGGAACTCGGTAGATGGAAAGTTATGAGGAACGTCGCATCAGTGTTGAGGTGCTGGACACTCAGTGACATTTTGTTTGTGGGGAAAGGAAAGGGGTTCTAAGGGTGGTCCGGGCAGCGCAAGATCAATCAAATGGTAGGCGAGCTAGGATTAGAGGATTGCACGTAAAGTACATGTAGGGCTCACAACGTCCCGTTATTCCAACGTTGAGGCTCTCTGCTAGGCCATGGATGTTGTGTTATATTCAGACATGTACATACTCATAGCTTCGACTCCGAGTATACGATAAGACTACATGTATTATAGGGATTGAGTTGACATGACCAATCACAAGCCCCGTAACAAGCCTCATTGATTGCCAAGAACCGCTTACACCTGCGGTGCTACATGGAGCTTAAGCTTGTCTAAGCTACATGTATCTACATCTTGCTACCTGTAGAGTACCTACATGTACTACAGTACAGTACACCCTGATACTACACCGTACCGCCACCACCATCACTACTACATATGTATTTGATATTAATACACGCCGTACATAGGAGAACCCTTTCATCGCATCTCCGGCCACGTAGCGACATAGGCAGCTGATGGAGAGTCGAGCGAGCGAGCGAGGGCTGCCAAAGACCGAGGCAGATCGAAATTTCTGTTACAGAGCGCAATTAATCCAGCAAGCTTAGTGGGGGTCTAGATCAAGATGTTCGCTGCCACTATGGTGCGTATTCATCTAGTGTACATCTATACAGCCCCTCCTTAATACAGGGTTCTCATATGCCGACTTGCGCAGTCTGGTGGGATGGTTTAAGAAATTTGTCGATTGGTGAATCGGCCCCGCCCCCGTTCGTTGATTCTTAGCTGGTGATCACTCCCAGCACCGAGGGCAGCTGCGTAGTTCCAGCCCCTCAGTAGTCTGAGAATCTTTACCGGTACCGGGAGCTCAATTGACCGAGAAGAATATCTATAGAAATCTTCGTTGACTCATCTGTGTACCTGGAATCGTTATCAGCGCCCCAGATTCGATTTGAGTGATCGATATAGATAGTGGGGAATCTGAGAATAACCACAGATTCTGAAAGCTCAGACTCAGGTACGAGACTCTAATTGAACTCAGGACGGGAATAGCAGAAATAGTGAGAGGGGGTCGACTGCAGGACTATAATCCAACGTACGCAAGGCATCCACTTCAGTTCAACAATTTCACGCAACGCTTAAGCTTATCTTCAAGAAATATTCTAAAGGGCAAATATCACATATTGTGCGAGTGTCAATTGATACAGGGCTTGAGGCGTGACTTTGTCCCTCTTGCAGGTCTTCTAAAGGCCTCAGTACCGAATTCCCCCCCCTTTGAGCCAGGCAGAACATACACCCTTAAGGTAAAGGCTACTGAAGGCAACCTTTGATGATTCATTATAGATATAGATTCAGCCTTAATTTTTTTGTTTAATTGAATTGGTATTAAAGAAAATTCTAGCATTTTAGTTTTCTTTCAATGGGAAAATGAATCACAGGTTATCACTCGCCCACAAATAGAGGTGAAAACTTGGGGAGGAGGGGCCATAGAATTGCATTGGGTCCTATTGGAAAACGCCTCAAAAGTACTGATAAAGATCTTTTGTGTCTGGAAAAAAAAAATTATCTCAAAGCTTCTAGCTGATCGAAAATGCATGAGGGGTCACTCGAGGAGGTGAGGACTTTCCCAATTTGGGAACTTGACAGCCTCAATGCAAAAGCAGTCAAACACAACGGCTAGATTATCTAGAAATGACTTATGAGAGAATCAATCTTCGCGAATATGCGTTAAAAAAAACGTTCAGGGTATGAAGGTGGTAGTGCAGGGCCTCTATCAATGAGTTTTAGAATTTCTGAGCATCGGTCAACTCAATTGATCATGATCTCTTGGTCGCCTAAAAGCACTTTTGAGAAGTGAGTATAATAGACATTAGGTATAGTTCGGTTAAGACCTACATGTACGTCTTGGCCCTAGCTGGCTCTAGCCACGAATTTCTGGGACCCAATTTGACTAGGCCTGCGCACAAGGCAGTATATTTCGCGGTCACGGAGGCTTTTATAGCTCCGCAGATTGGCTTAAGTGGATCTTAAAACACTACCGGCCAGCTGAAATCACTGCTGCGACTATGCAGATGCATAGGGCAATGGGGACGTTTTCCCTATATCGAATCCCCTAAGATTATGCCTCGCACCAGTGGCAGCGCCAGCTCAATGGCATCTATGCGTTGTCATGATACAATTCAAGACGATAAACGCCCATGCAAGATCTGGGGCGATGGTAGAGCGCTCAATCGTTGCAATAGTGTCCAAGAAAAATATTTGTGGGAAGTTTGCATGCAATTGCTGTGTTTTGATGTACATATCTCAACGGCGGCAGCCTTGCAATGTGAACATGAGAGACTATGTTTGATTTGTTAAAACTCCACGCGTACGTTGAATTGTAATGGAACTGCCCTGTTTCAGAAAATAGACGAACTCGCTAAGTGGGTGGCTTTTTTTTTCATGAACGTCGTTCCACCTACCCTCACACACAATCGGATTATTGAACCATACTTTCTTTTCTCTTGTCCGAACGTCTGCGCGCGAGCTACCTAGTCTAGCGAGTGGGGTCACGTGCTGTGACGTATCAGGTTCTCAGAAAGTGAAGAATATGCCTTGTATGTTTGTACAATGCAACGTGCATGAACAATGTCATTGAGACTGCACTGCCTCTTCTTCATGCAGGTACAATATGTACCACACAGCTAGCTCATCCCTACACCTACCAATCAAATGCACTCACCGAGAAAAAAATTTTCAAGATCTGTTCCTGCATCAGACGAAGAGAAGCATCCAATAAGGGACAAGCAGATCTAAGTAATGTATTGTGTGAGACAACTTTTCATCTGAAGATACGGCCATACTCATCATATGCATCGTGATCTATGCGGGGGTTAACAAGATTATGGAAAGCCAAAATCACCAAACAACAGGCATCGTATGGGCTCCATTGCGAATTTTGAGGCGAGTGTTGAGAACAAATAAGTACTCAGGATTTCGGAGTACAAAAAAAACAAAATCCTCCCCACCCCCCCCAAAAAAAAAGAAAATGGACCCGGGAGAACGATTTCGACAGTACAGAAATCTTGAGAGCTGCATCAGTTATACTCTGGATTGGGAGGTCCAGGACTTCGGCCCCCGGGAGTGGATGGATATCCCTGTGACGATCTAAGACAAACCTCTTCACTTGAACGGGGCGAGGGGTCTATTCGAATGCGTGGCAAGCCCGATAGGAGGCTAAGTGTAGGCAGGCACACCACACCATTAATACATGCAAACATATATGTACAGCCATCATGCCTTTACAGTTAAGTACAAAAACGGTCCAGAAATATCATCGTCCGTTATATAACGACACAGATTCTTGAGATCCTCATCACTCAAATATCACCACCACCCATCGATCACCAGAAAAAAATATTCAGCCCCGGCCCTAATAATCAACAATGGAAAACTATAACTATAACTACCGCAGCTTGTCCAACGTTTATGACCAAACGAATCCCTATCCGTTGATGGACTTTGAATCAATCCATAGGCGCGCTACAGCCGAGCGTTTAGGCGATGTAGGCTACGATTGCCCTCAACCTTCGATATACCAACATCATGAACATCAGGATAGTTGCTATAATTACCGGGGGCCTCGTTACAGTCCACATCCGGAAAATTATCAATCCCCTGTAATGGAGCTCGAGACATACTCCTGTGGGGACCAAGATTATGGCATATCGAGCTTGCGCTTGGCCGAAGAGAATAGCGTAGATCACTCATCGCCTGTGCAGCAGACGTTTTTGCCAGTTCCTTCTAGCCCTGCGATGCAGCTACCCCAGTCCCCATGGACGCAATAGTAAGCCTTTACCTTTTTTGTGACAGAAGTGCTACTTTTGGTTGATTGGCTTACCTAATTGCCCGTGTAGCAGCGAAGATGAATTCAGCCGAAACTTTGAGAATACCCCCCAATACACGCCCTACGGAGAATTACAGCCTGGGAGTGGTATGAACAATAGCCACTATTTCCAGTCTCCGAGAACAACAGTGGAAGATAATATCACAAATCTTGGATACCAGCCCCATTACTCGTCAGATCTAGATGACATCCCTACTACCGCGATCTGGTAATGATTAATTCCTTTTTTTTCTTTTCTTTTTATCTTTTCTAACAATCAACCATTCACAGCAATACCTCTGGCAAGACCCACAATAATCAAGAGAACAACACTACTGGAATCATCGAGGAGAAAGAGACCCCAATTCTGGAGCCGCCGATCGATCAAAAAAATAAAAGGTACATATTTCTCATCTATTATTTCACTTTATCAATAGAGACTAACTAAGCTGTTTCTTTTTTACAGTGTCGACGTCAGAAGTGCAGGCTTGTCTTCTGCCCCGGGCCGACGATACAAGTGTCCAGTCAGGGGATGCAATTTGCAGTTCAAGCGACGTGCTGAAATGGATCGTCATAAGGAGTCTGTTCACCAGCCATCTCCTGGACATCTATGCCCCATACCGGGATGTAATCGCGGTGTTCCAGATAACGGATTTAGCCGCAAAGACAATCTAAGACAGCATCTCAAGTTGAAGCACGAAGTCAAGTTCCCGAAAGGCAGGAGATCCCGCAGAACGTAATAATCCCGGCAATCAAAAATCATGGGGAAGAGGGCGGGAAACTTGCCGGATCAATACCAGGGAAGTGGATGCATGCGGGTGGATTGTCGAAACAGTGTCAAAAAAGCAGGGCACACCGTGGCAGTTGTCAAGCCCAGTTACCTATTGCCGAAGCGCACCTCACTATGCTCATTGGCAGGCATCAGCTGCAGCCAATAGGGCGTCGTGCACCAACTATCTTTGCGAGGATTTCCTGGTTCACTATCTCCGGTATTTGGAGCACGAGAAGAAAACATCCTTGACGGTGACATAATCCGCCTGGCTATTAGCTTATTTTCTTTTTCCTTCCTATCGAACAGTGCAAGTTTTGTTTTCTTTGTTTTATTTTAATGATTGGGACGTACCGCCGATAATTCAAACACTAAAATTTTCTTCAATCTTTAATTCTCAATTGCATCATATCATAAATACGTGCCTATTGCCGAATGAAAGATGCCCCAATATTCATGATTGCTTTGCGTTGTTGCAGCCTTGCTGCAGGAAACGTCTCATCTGCAGAGTTAAATATTTTGTGCGAAGTGCAATTCCTACGGCCACAAGATTAGCAACCTGCTACTCTGACGTTTTTGCGGCCCAGTTTCGAGTTGACGTGCAGAGCGGGGAACTGCATGTAGAAAACATCATTGGTATAGCTGATCTGCCGCCGAACACACCTAGGAGCGTACGTTTCGGGGGGGGGGGGGGGTTGAATTCAGCCGCGCTGGTACGAGGCATCCAGTCCAGGTAGCCATTGCATCTTAAGTTCATGCGGGTACTAGTAGTTCCAATCTCAGGTGTTAGATATCCGCTCTTTGTAGATTGTTGAGAACCGAGCGCGGGGTATTGCTGCCTTGGAACGATGATAAAAAGGTGATAGGTTGGCCCAGATCGACACGAAACAGAGTCTGCGTGACAGATGTCCAATATGGTTTTGAAAGTTCTTGTGGGCTGATCAGTGTAAAACGCTTGGCCCATAATATGATCAATGGATGAAACAGAGCCTTTGTCTTGCAAGGCGGTACATGAGGCTGACAATAAACTCATACGGCAAGTAGAACCTGTAGAGGTATATGCAGAGAACATTTGGACACATTGTAGACTAAGGAGCGAAATTATAGAACCAACATGTAATTCTTGCAATATATTCTGACGAAAGAACGGAGGAAACGTATAACGCAAATTGCAAACGAAGAAGAAAACAAAATAAAAATAACAAGGGCAACAGAGGTAAAACACACCAAAACGATGTGCGGGAAATGTTCGGATAGGGATTATCAAGTGAGGATCAACTGTCTGTACGTATGGAAATATTAGGTAGCTTGGGACGTGAGGAAGGCGTGAATTGAAACCATAGATGGGAATGCAATCACAACAAGAACATGAACATATGAATTGCAACACGACCAACGAGAAAAGAAAGGGCCTGGGATATGATAGCCAAAGGAGAGGAAGAAAATATTGAGGAGTAAGTAGACCAGCCTTGCACATCGGCCCCATATCCAAGGTTCTGGAGCATAGACCTGTGTTTCGATTTCTCTGACCGATTCCACAAGTCGAGGTCGTAGTTTTCTCACGTATGTGTATATACGTCAGTTAGTTGTTAGTTGTACCGTTGTCCACAAAGCGAGATTGTATATAAAATGAGGGGCCGGACGTTCCGTAGACAGAGTTCGAGTTTGCTGTCGTCCAGACTATCGGGCAATCTTTTATAGAGGGGTGAATGAATTGAAATATATATAATTATTTCTAAGGCGAAAGATCATCCGTATCAATTAAACAGCCCCATACGGGCCGACGGACTTGGATTTAAATGAACTGAGATTATTCCCTGATAACGTATCTCAAACCTTCTCAAAAATGATCTCAAGAAGTTATCAGTGGCGAGCCCCATGAGAGTTTCGTAGCTATCAGCCTATCGTTGGAGTATCTCGGGGCTTGCGATTGGCCAAGTTACATGATCATTACTATCTCTAACGCGCAGGTCGCCACATCTAGCTGCTTATTTACCTATGTTAGTTGTTCTAGACGAAGTATCACAAAGTTGAAGTGATCACTTCTCGCACAGCAATATTTCACAATTGATGTTGAAATTGCTGCTTAAAGAACTCAGGCAACAATGCGAACCATGCTCAGGCACCTACCACGTCTCTAGATAACTCATTCATCTAAAAAAAACGTTGATTATGGTGCAAAGATGAAATTGCAAGGTTTGCCTGAGGGGGTGACTTGACAGCTTCGCGCGTTTCAGATTATCACGGCAATCTGTCCAACCGGAGCAGAAGTGTGCCTGACGGATGGATGAATTGGGGGCTATGGTCTCGTTTCATCTTCTTCTAGAAGCCTGGGGGATGTGCCTTCTAGACATCGGAGAATTAGTGACATCGCCAGGCACGTACCGCCGTAACTCAATGGTCGCACACGCGGTGCTTCTAGAGTGGAATGGAAGCCTGCACGGGGATGCACAAGGCCCAGTGCGCGCATATCAATTCGGACGGGCTGCAGGGAGGGCCCCGCGGGGCGAGTTGACAACGCGCCCCGCATTGCCAACAATCCAATGGTATTCTGATACAAACATGAAACCAAATACCCCTGCATGGATCCGAAACCACACGTGGTCCCACCCCTTACGTAGAGTACCCCTTGTTCCTGATCCGAGCCCGTACGTCAGATACGTGCCCGGGCCTGAACACCACAAAAAAGGATTCTATTAAGTTGTCAGTACCTGGAATTGAACTCATAACGAGAAAAAAAAAACATTTTCGTTAGGCAACTCTAGCAAAACACATGCCATCCCCAAGGAGTACTGATTTCTTTAAATCAACGGAGTCTGGTTTTTGTGAGGACATGCTCAAAAGGCTTTGGCCTTATTTTCCAAAGCATTCCCAGATTGTTACTATTGTACGGCCTGTAAATATCCCAGAATCAAAGAAACGCAAGGAGATGAGACATAGCTGATGTTTTTGCCGTCATTATCGTTAAAGATCTTCAAAAAATTGGTGAATCAGAATATGTGGGCCCACACGTGCACGCCTCAAGGTTAAACGCCGAGCAAAGCCCACTAGTTGGGCACAGTAGAAGTGCTACATGTAGCTATTAAGAAATACTTTAGATGCAAGGGGAACCTCATGAGCGTAGCGAGTAGTGTTCTGCAATCCGCCCCATTCAGCTATGTTTGACCACACCATATTTAAAATCTGCTGCTTCAATATCAACAGATACTTGGATAGAAACCGATCTAGCTATATAGCCGAGAGATACCCTGGCTCTTGGCAGGCGATGGCCGCGGCTTTCATTGAGGCGTCCCGATATGATCGAATATTGCCGTCTTGAACGCCCTGCCAAATTAATTGCAAACTGATATTGCTAGTTATAATGTCCAAGAATTTGTGAGATAATGTCATTGAATGAGGCATGGACATCTGTGAGATCTTGTCAGTATCATCAGAAATCTTCCTTCAAGTTGAGAGAGAACAATTAGTGAATGTAGTACTGAAAAGAGATACCTAGAGAGGGAGCTCACAAGACGTGTTTCTCCACACCACAGGGATCCCCCCGGGCCCATGAAAGGTACATCAACATATATTCCGAATAAGAGTTGAGGTAACCAGTCGGCAAACGCCACCATTCAAAGAAATCTTCGCGGTGATCCATCGATATTATTCCATATAGCCAATGATTATTACGGGTGTACGCTCGGATGATTCTAAAATGATGGAGATCTTGTGATCACCATGAAGCCTGAATTAGATTCGCCTTGCCAACCGGGCCTCGATCGAGGCCTTTTTATCCGTTTTAAGGCATCGGATTTGGTATTCGTAACAACCTTACACTCAGGAGAATCAGTAAAAGAAATACCGCAACCCTTCAATGGACAACACACCTGGAAGAGTTAGTCAAGGATGAATTAGGGGATTCTTGTCTCGTTGTTCATGGTCCGGAAAAGTATATATTGAGGCTTTTTATCCACCAACTCTGCCCCATCCTCAGTTGATATCGAGCAGCACGAAACGCCAGACAAAGCTCCTAGGATAAGGATCAATACAAACACCATGGGAATGTCCTGGACAACAATCACTTCCCCACGTCTAGAAGATTGGTGTCTGGAAATGTATGCCGGTTCCTTGCGCATATACATTCCATTGCTTATCAGCACTACATCATGATCTGTCATCTACAAGATATCAATGTTGTCCTTTTTCAGAGACTTGAATCCCCGGTGATAACATAGGGGTAAGGGGAGATAAACAGAGGGGAGGGGGGGGGGGGCAATCGGGGAAACATGCTTCAACTGTACGATTGTTACTAGGATTGGGTTGAGAGGGCAAACTCGGGGGAGCCAAGATCCTCGATACCCGAATCGGACAATGCTACTTTTCGTGTCTAACCAAAATACAACCGCAACCACAGAAATCGGATTTTCAGTGCCATACACTACCCGGTGTCCCAATTCTCGTTTTGACATCCTAGGAAATCTCGTCGGAAAAAAAGGAGGGGCTTCAGATACGGCGACACAAAAAACATACGAAAATGCTTTTTTCCCCTTGCTAATTTCAGTCAGTTTTTAGGTCGGACTTGTGGATTCTATCATTGGCACAGGTGTTGTTTGGGAGGAGTCGCCGATGGTATCCTGGACATGAGATGCTGGAAAACATTGAGTTAGAACATCACCGTGGATTTTCTTTTACTTACTCTACGGGATTCGATTCGAGTCAGATCTATGATCGGAGATCCGGATCCAAGATATTCATTCCTCACCGAAGAGGAGATCAGAACGATTCGTTTGGTCACCATTGCCTTCTTAGGGTGATAGCGTCAGTAATCAGAGGAAAAGGTTTTTATATAAGAATATCTCACGTCAATCAACGTGCAGATTATAAGCGGACATCAGTCTCCTTACCGGGTGGATCTCGACAACAGCCGGGTAGGACAATAGCCCCTCGGATACTACATGTAGGTCAAATATCTCGCCAAGACATATTGTCTTTAAACCCAGTCAATCACAAATAGGCCCAGGTAAGGCCTTTTGATATCCATATAGGCAAATCACTGGTGATCTTTAAGAGTACATCCAAGTGCGGTGTGGAGCACATGCCCAAACTGGTCTGTTACCGACAACAATCTGTAAGAAGATTGTCACCCACTACTATGGGTAATTAAAACGCGCAGTGCCGCAAAAGGACTTCAAGGTTTCTTCTGGCATCACGTTATCCCATGGACTTGTAAAGACGCCCTTTATTATATTGAAGCAGGTTGCATGTTGTAAATTCCGGGTATTGCGAGCCATAAAAACAAGAGTAATAGTTTACCGCCTGATATGGGGATATTAGCATATGCAGTGAAGGTCTTGGATAATCGCTGCATATATGATGCTAGATACTCGAGGATACGTGAGAGGAGTCCTAGCTGTTGGGCTATAACTAAGACCGAGCTAGTATTTCGACAGTGTCTCAACTCGGGGGTCTCTCTGGAACCTGTATTCAGGCAAATATCTTGTACTGTTAGGTTATCAATGAATCTACCATGTACAAAGCTTGCGTCCTGTCCCTATGTGAGATATTCGAACAAATCTCATCTGACCGAGGATAAAAAATGCATGTAGTCTACGGTAGAAATCTAGCTCCAGGATTCGATCGCTGGTGCGGCGAAAGGTGTCAATGATAATGATGCCGTTGTTTCATCACGTACCATTAGCTACGATACAGAGATTCATAATAGTCCAAGCCATGGTTTCTGGCTTAAGTCACAATCATAAGCAGCGGAAAGGAAAAGAAAAAAAATTGGAATAGCGCTTAAAGGTCAGCCTCCGAATTCCAGTCATGGACTATCACTCGGAACAAGTAAAGTATTATCATTATTCATTTTTGTTATTAGCGTGTTGAATGTATTCTGGGATAGTACGGTGAAGAGAGTTCAGATTGTGACTGCGTTTTATAAGATTATCGGAGGTCTCTGACCGTGCCAAACGGCTGTTGTGATTGTTGTCCGGTTGATCTAGCGTGTAACTATGCCGATGTTTGGGGAAATATGAACCAACCGAGATGGTTCTGAATATAACACTGGTGGGTGTATCCTTAAAACACAAATCCCTTATATATCGGAATATCTGTCCACCAAGGCCGGGCAAACGTATAGTTTCCAAGACCCAAATATCCCTTAAACTGTCGTCTTTTTTTTTCAAAACCGACTTCCAAACCAATTAAGGCAAGCAACGGAACGCAACGGCCCAATTGAGACAAGGCCGGCTTCATTGTCATACTAACCCAGGTACTTCGGCCAAATCCGCGTTAGTCTCTGTGTTTGTGTCAGCGTTGAGCTTAGCAGGTTCTGCTACCTCAAGCTTCTTGCTTGCCGGAATCCTCTTCCTATCACCTCTCCTGGCTACAGCCATATCCGCATCAGTCTCGGCGTTAAGATGAAGGGATTCCGCTGTCTCTATGTGAGATAGGTTTCTTTTCATTTCACAATGAAATTTAGGCCTTTTACTTTGGCAACTAGGGTTCATACATAGTATACTCACATGTAATTGCGGGCGGCCCAACAACCATCCGAACTAGGATTATGGGAGAATGAGTAGCGATGAGAAAGTAGAGAGTTGTCACTTAAGGTTGAATGTAACCCACACAGTGTAGACCTGTCATTAACTCATATGGTAACTTAATTAGGTTTGGAAGTTAATTTTTTACGACAAGAGACGGTTTAAGGGATCATAAATAGATCATGAGACGTCTCACTCTCCAGTAGAAGCGGTATGAACTCTATAAATACCCTATAGCCAAGGCCGAGTACGCCTAGACTGGGGATTTGATATGAATCTGTAGGAGTCCAGCGGAGTCCATGGAAGATCGTAAATGACTTCTACGTATGCATATATGTGGTCGTGGGGGAGATATCATTTGAGTACCGAGCCTTGAGAGCTAATATGAGTTCAACATTTGACTGCATACCGCAGGAAACCTCGTAGGTGGCCTGTGTTTGGTGCAGCAGTATGAAGAGTTCGGGAGCAGCGATCGACATAATGAAATGCGGGACGATGTGTATTCGGTGCAGTTCTATCATAGAGGTAACGTTCCGCGTGAGGTCTCGGTGCTTGGGGTGTACGCCAGAGTAATCTATTGATCATGGTTTGTTCAATGCACGTATGTTGACAAACCAACAAACTAAATGAGACGACCCTAGTCATCATAGGAAGTCACTCGTCGTTAAGGAAGCAGTTTTCATCATATAAACGTCTCAAGGCGGAGGAGAGTATGAGACAGCGGGACGTCCTCTGCATGGAATGCGTAGATGCTCCCGGACAATGCCGAGTCCTCGAGTTCTTTCAATCGTTACCGCTAAAGGTAGGTGGTGCCTCCAAACAGAGAGACCATTCATCAACCTTTAGAACAGGCGCGAAGAAGAAGCTCCGAGCCGGTAAAAATCCAGTACCAGGCTATGGATCACCAGATATCACTCGCACAAATTTCTTGTCAAGTTGAGACCTGAATTTCGTTTCAGAGAACCGCAACAAGCAGGCACACCCCATCCACTATCCACAAGCCAGTATCTTCTTCGAGGACTCTGCACGGCCTGAGGAGTATCGGCGGTATTTGGTCGAGAATGCATGCAGGGTTAGGGTTGCTATGGCCGATCGGCAGCGATATTGTCGCTTTCCAATATTGGGCTTTTCATGAGGGTGTAGGAGGGAGGGTTCCTATCTCCATATTTCTTCTTGGTCTGAGCGTAGGCGGGGTTGGGGGGGGGGGGGTGGATATAAGTTAGATAAAGAATATTCGTAAAGGGGAGGTGGGACGCGGGGGGGACCGGTAAACCTTTTTCTCCGTGAGAGAATAAGAAAGTAAGGACCGCAGATACGAAGTAGAAATAGCGGCGTAGCTGACAGATAGCTCTAGATCTCCTTATCGCGACTGTTTGTTTGCTTTGGTAGCGAGGTATATGGAAGAGATCGATTGCACATGGCGGGACGGATGAATATATCGATCATGTCGTGTTGATTTCTGCTCCCGCCAAGATCTAGAGAGAACATCAACATCGTGTTTGTGTTGTCATTACGACTACCGTTCTACAAAAGTGAAAGGTCTCATATATACGCGTTCTCTACGTACTCGTGCTTGGCTTTGCGTGCTGCTGCCCGGTGTAGGTGGCGTCACGGAGTATCACTCGGGCGCCAAGACGCGGCCTCTCCCATCCCATGGCTAAGGTACAACTTGTACACACGCACACACACACGCACTCCTCCTCACTGCCTCGCCGCCCTTGAGCGTTAATACTTGGCTGAAAGGATCAACGACAAGCTCTCTCGGGCATTAAAAATGCTTTATGTTGAGAATTGACTCTTCTTTTACTTGCTCCCGGGTCCTTTTCAACTGCCCTCCTTGGCTGCTCAATCCCGTTTCAACTTCCCGTTCTAGGGGCTCCCTTACTCCGCTTGTGCCCGAAAGTCGCAGGATTGGTCTCTCTCTTGCGTCGGTAACGGTTTGCCCCAACTACATGTAGCTGTAAACGTAACTTTCTCTTCTATGCCGACCTCTTCCCTCGTTGTTGCATCTTCCATCCCCGCTTGTAGCCCTGGGCCGCCCCCCCCTGCGAGATACAGCAACCGCCGTACGCTAAATAGAGAGGAGCAGAGATGGAAGTACGAAACCAAGCCGCAGTCTAAGATGTCTCTCATACTGAATACTACACACGACAGCACAAAAAAGATCGACAGGGAGAGACCACCCATGACTGATAATACTCGCGCGCAGTCGATAGAGATACCCCCACCGGCATCAATCGATGCTCTAGACCCCTAGGCTTTACAAGATTGAACTCCGAAATTACATACCCTGGAAATTGGGCAACGAAGAGGATAAAACTAGTACACACTGGGTTCGCTGCCGGCGTATTTGGCATACTCCGGACAAGGCTCTGTAATTATGAGTACATAGATGATACCTACACCAGACGGCTTCCGCGGCGGAGATACGACGTCCGGTCGGAGTGGGAGATGGTGCCGCGTCGAATCTTGGTGTTGTCCCGAGAATATGGGCAGGGCTTGTTACCACCTCGTTCTTCCGGTGGGAGAGCTGCTCGATTTGATAACCATATCCTTTTGATGAACGTACCAAGAATGGGCCAAGTTCATCAATTGTTGTGTGCGTGCGTGCCCCTGACCTTGGGTACCAGGCTACTTGATTGGAGATTTCTAGTTTTTTCAAAGTTCACCCTGAAGATCACTTAATCCTGGGTAATCGGGAAAATATTGGAAGTGGGGTAAGTATAAGAGCTAATCCAAGGGATGGATGCACTGGAAGCAAAGATACCATGCAAGTGTACCTCTAATATCCACCGACGCACTTGGCCGCTGAGGACGGACAATTCCAAACAAGCTATCCATTATCCACTTATCTACAGGATATAATTCAGCGGAGACGACCACCAGCTGAAATCCACCTCCTGCCAAGTGATAAGGGTTAGGGTTTCACAAACCCAACTAAATGTTTCGCTACCACTTCATTTCACCCAGCCGCCGAGAGCGGTGTAGATTAATTGATTAATCAATCAGGAACCCGCTACCAATACAAGTGGTTATCCGCTAGTACCTGAGGAATATATACGCAAGGTACACGCTCGTGCAGTATGCGGAATTCTACCGGCAGGCCCCACAAAAGGTCCGGCAGCATCCGTGTTCCTTGCACGAGATGGGGAGCAATATATTAAATACCCACGTGCAGAAGCAAATGGTAAACTGTATGTACTGTGGATCTGGATATCGCGGTTTCTTTACTACTGAATATACTACTTTGAGTAAAGCCACATCGAGAGCATATATATTCATCATTTGCAATCTAATATATGCGGGGTATCTCCAGTCGCGTAATATCCAAGCCTCCCAATAGACGTGCGGCATTCGAGGGCGTGTAGCACCGCATGCACAGACATGGCATAAACTGTTTGCACCCAGCAGTCTTCAGATGCCAGACCGCGTCGCACATGCTGTTTTGAGAATCCCCATCATCTGCGGCTATTCCCATGGATGCGCAGGGTTACACGAGCCTAGGGCAATACTTGACCGTTACATGTAGCAGAGTGGGGAAAGGAGAGAAACAATCAACGGATCATTCCATCTCGACCCCAAGCCCAGAAGCAGGGCTGACATCGACTTCTCCTGAATCCGTCCTTGTGACGTGAAGAATAGGGAGCAAAACAAAACATCCTACCCAAAGAATCCAGACTCGCAGTTGATAATAGTGCATGTCATATACAACAGCCTTAAGAGTGCGGTTATGACCACAGCACTGAGACGTTCAAAATGTTCACTTCTCCCAAGACAGGCAGGATTCCTCGCCTAGCTAGCTAGGCCCCGCTGATCTCGCCGGATCCCTGGTAGTATAAGCGCTCAATCTCATATATTAATTCGGTTGATGAACCTCTTTTGGCCCAGCAGGGGCCTTGTTTCCCGCGCCTGAAGGTGCGAGATCATGGGTTCTAGTGCTCCAACTTCCCGCTGAACACCGTCGAAGGAAGCTGAAAGTGCTGAATTGTAGTAACGGAGTGGCCGACGGGAGGAGGGATCGTGAGGAGGGCGTTTCTATAAATCAGTGGTGATTCCCAGCGTTTGTTTGGCTCTGTTTTCAGATCGTCAGTCCTCGTCTGTTTATCACGCATCGTCGAAGATCCTCACGCTCCATCAGCGTCAAGATGCCTTCCCTCTACTGCTCTCTTCTCCTGCTCACCCTCGGCGCGTTAAGCGTCAACGCCGGCGTTGTCCTCCGCAGACAGGACCTCGACCCCGAGTCCTCCGTGTACAAGCTGCTTGCCAGCAACAGCACCATCTCCCTCCCCGACCTCTCCGTGCCCCTCGTCAACACGACCACCACCGATGTCCGTGGCGACGTCCCAGACACCACAGACCTCACAACCGACGTCCTCTCGTCTGCCTCCTCCTCCCTGACGGCGGAAGAGTTCATCGAGCCCACTGTTTCCGATGACGCACTGGTATTCTCCATCAGTAGCGTCACCACCTCCGCCGTCACGGCTTCCGACGTTTCCGCGACCAACACCTTCCTTTTTTCCGTGACGCTGCCGGTGTTTTTGGCGGCGAAGGCGGTGGGGGTCCCAACGACGCTCGACTGGACGGATGATGGGTGCAGTTACTCGCCGGATTATCCTGCTGGGTTCAACTTTCTGAGCTCGTGCAAGAGACACGACTTTGGGTATCGTAACTTCAAGGCGCAAAGCAGGTTCACGGAGGCGAATAGGCTGCTCATTGATGATAACTTGAAGAAGGATCTGTATAATGAGTGTGGAACATACGGCTGGGTCCAGCGGGAGATCTGCGAGGGGATTGCGGATGTGTATTATGAGGCGGTGAGGGCGTTTGGCGGGTTGTAGTGTAGGACGTGGGCAGGAAGGTGTGGGGGGGGGGGGGGGGGGACCGGGACACAGCGACGGTCACCGAGTACTGCGTCGGGTGCAAAAAGCTTGATTGTCGATATCTCATTATCTCGTGCGTGCATGTAGATAGAACAAGAATATGTAGTGAAGAATACTAGAAATCCCGTGGTGTCGCTGCTCTGCTATCTATGAATTCCGATTCTGAGTTATATCCCGGATGCGCTTGCCCAGCACAGCAGGAGGCCAATAATAGGCCCTGGGAGAGATGCTCCAATTGCCCCGCACGCTGGTGTTTCAGATGTCTCATCAATGATCACATTCCCGCCGTTAACGTTGATTGCGGGGAAATCTCGTAGATCTCGCTTTCTCCTGCTCCTCCTGCTGCGGCGTATGATCCCTCCTGCGCATCCAGATTCCCCATCCGCACTGTTTGCGTCGGTCATGCAAGCTGATGCAGCGCGGGGTCTTGAAGCGGATTGGCATGACGGCGTGGACCCTGGTGATTACATATCCGCACGCGCTGTTCTCCTCATCCTGCCGCGTTGCCGATGCAGATTTATAGCTGTGGAGCGTGTCTTTAATTTCTGTCCTCTCTCCTCTGCAGCTGTCTGCTTTACTCGGGGTTTCTTGCAAGTTGGTATAACGGTATAACAGTGCCCGCGAGTCGTGAACCCGTCTGTCCAGAGATTAATATTCGAAAAGATCAGTCAAAACCGTCCGTCCCCTATAATTAGCCAGCTATATATATATGGCGTCCACATCGTCGGCATCCCCGCTCCTGCCCGCCGCGCATGCGCAGGACTCACTCGCCTCAAAGTCCCCAGCACAGTATGGCTCTGTGCCCGCAGCGCCCCGGACAAGGCCCTCGTTCCTGCGGTCGCTCAGTCCCTCGCACCTCGGCCTCTGTATGCTCCTCGCCTCGCAGGTGCTCACCTCGGTGCAGGCAACCGTCACCCGCTACCTCGCCATCTCGCTGCCCGCAGGAAGGCACTACCACGCCTTCGAGGTGCTGTTTGCCCGCATGAGCATCACGCTCATTGGATGTCTGGTCTGGATGTGGTGGAACAAGGTGCCGCACGCGCCGTTTGGCAGGCGGGATCTGTGGCCGCTGCTGATTGCCCGGGGGTGCGGTGGGCTGGTCGGTGTCTATGGCCTCTACAGTGCGTTCTCCCCCCCCCCCCCCTTTCTGCGATAACGGTGTTAGCATTATTAGTATATACTGACAGCACTGACACTCCGCAGCCAGCCTCTCCTACCTGCCCATGCCCGACGCCGTGGTGCTAACCTTCCTCGCGCCCTTCGTCGTCGGCTACGCCTGCTCCAAGATCCCCTCCCTGCACGAACCCTTCACCCTCCGCGAGAAGCTCGGCGGCCTCGTCTCCCTCGCCGGCGTAACCCTCATCGCCCGCCCGTCGTTCCTCTTCCCCGTGCCCCACGACCACATGGCCCCCTCCTCCGCCATCCCGCCCCCCGAGATCACCCCCGCGCAGCGCCTCTACGCCGTCTCCATCGGCCTGGTGGGCGTGCTGGGAGCTGCCACGGCGTACACCACCATCCGCTGGATCGGCGCGCGCGCGCACCCGCTGATATCGGTGGCGTATTTCAGCGGGCTGGTGACGGTCGTGTCGGTGGTTGTGCTGGTGGCGGTGCCGAGCACCGGCGGGTTCGTGGTGCCGCAGGGGCGGCTGGAGTGGGGGCTGCTGGGCGGGATCGGGGTGTCGGGCTTTGCGATGCAGTATTTGTTGACGAGGGGGTGGCAGTTGGTGAAGGGGGCGAGGGCGGGCATGATTGTGTATACGCAGATGGTGTTTGCGGTGGTGGGCGAGTGGCTGGTGTGGGGCGGGGTGCCGGACTGGCAGAGCTGTGTGGGCGGGGCGATGGTGGTGGGGAGTGCGGTGGTGGTGGCGTTCTGGAAGGAGAAGGAGGGCAAGGGGGCGGGGAAGAAGGCGGAGGAGGAGGAGCAGGTGGTGGTGGTGGTGGTGGATGAGGAGACGGGGCTGCTGGCGGAGGATGAGTAGAAGTGTGGTGGTGGGGTGATAGATGAACGAATCTCATGAGCACATATATATTGCACGGGAGGAGGGCGTTGGATTGGCATTGGACTTGCATGGTAACAACACTGGGAGTAAGAGGGACAAGCATTGGATGGATAGACATAAACGTCTAGAGACAGAGAGAAGTAGATAGCATCGATTGAGGTACCATCCTTAGCAGTTAGAGCCACTCGAGTCTCTCTGATTCTCTAATAATAAACGCTTGAAGAACAATTTCTGTGAACCATGCATTGTAGACCACGAACAAGTGCAGAAGATTGAATCACAAGACATCACTCTTGGCAAACTGCCAAGGCCAGACATCGAAATTGATGTTCCTCCTTCAGGTCTGCGGGTGTACGCAGCCGCGTAGCAGTGCGGATGTTCCACTGCAGACACGGTGAACAGAATCGATGTGGGTACATCCTGCGGCATTTTCACCAAAATACCGCACCGCCGGAAGTGGCTGCCGTACATTCGGTCATGGTGGGCGGTCGTGGTAACTGACACTGGCTAGATAGCTAGTCCGCAACTCGTGTAGTGAAGATGCCCTATGGATAGATGGCGGATATCATAAGCTTAGAGGCCAGATACATGTGTACCAGATACACCGTCGCCGAAGTCCTTTAGTTCGGATTAATATCAGGGTAGCTTACTGCGTAACCTCATGAACATCATGGGCGGGTCAAACCAAGGGTTCTGTCAACAGGACAGCAAGACGTCTCCAGGCACCACACAAATTGGTCCAGGGTGCCACCAGCTCTGCGAGATCTGTTTGTGTAGTTGTAGAGTGGTTGTTCAAGCCAGGTTTCATCTCTAGAAAGATCATGATGGGGGCGGCCGGGCAGGTGCTGTGGACGAAAATCTTTTGTGGAATTGGGGTTTGTTGGGGGCATGTAGCTAGGGGGCCGGTAATGCCAAGCTCGAGTGATGGCTTGTGACGTTGATGGACGGTCTAGGGTCCGGCTTGTGCGAGGATTAAGGTCTGGACTAGGCTCGCCCCTAGCCCGTATGCTTAAACCTAACTGGTCTCGTACCCAGTCCGTTACTTGCAGCAAGCTGCCCACCAGTACGTGGAAACAGACGGGTTGGGGATGGGCCTATGCAAGTAACGTACTGGTGGGCAGCTTGCTGCATGCAAGTAACGGGCTGGGTACGAGACGAGGTCTGTACTACATCTCTAGTAGTGCTAGGATACGAATCAAGGAATGCACGCTTTTCGCTACGCAACCTGTAGTGTGTGAAATCTGTGCCTGGAAAGTGACCATCTGGGCGGAAGGCCAGGTCCTGAGGAAATGGATCCAAATCGCGTGTAGAAAGGCGTCTGGCAATGGCATATCATTACATGTAGTCTCGTGGGATGGTTTTCTTGGCACATTTATCATGTCTCTTGTTCCTTCCTAATTGAGGCTATAACGTATTTCACCTAGAAGCCGACCTTCACCTAGCAACCGATCAAAAAGCAATTATACTCCTACCCGATAATAAAAATTTATTTTCTAGATCTAAGTCTCCTAACAGAATCCCCCGGCTTTGGACTATTACTACTATTATTTACAAAATATATTTTCATTTTCCGGGCATTTTTCTTACCACTTTGGGTTGTGATATTTGTAGGGGTGCACCTATCCGCTTCCAGCTCTTCCCACTCGCACTCTGAGCCTTCAGGGTCTTGAGTCACAGGTTCAGCCAGTTCCTCAATTGGAAGCTGTCTCTTTGGACGGCCTCTAACCTTGGTGAGTTTCCTGCCGAGATTTGCGGGCTCGGCGCAGTCTGTCTCGGCGCTCTTTGATGTCCGCTCCGCTGCCTTCAACTCTTTTGCTATAGCTCTCGCAGCGGTGAGCTTTTGCTTTTCCTCCCATTGATTGCGCAGACGTACAACCTCATCTGTAGTAACTACGAGGGCTTTGGAGAGAACAGCTCTACTTTGTACCCTTGAGGAGTCGGAATTTGCTTTTTCTTTCTTCCTCAAATATGCTAACTCCTGCCGTAGGACAACTACCTCTGCTGATGATTCTTCAGCGGCAAGGCCCAGTTTCTCAACCATAATTTGCGCCAGCTTTCTACTAGGTGTTGCATTGCCTACTAAAGCAATGGTGCGCTTGGTGTGAATTGAAATGCCTTTTCCATGGCGGGGTGTACGGGGACCCAATGCTTGCTCTTTCTTGGTGTTTAGGGCCTTGACCTTTTCAATGCACGGTTCAAGTACCTGGCGGGGATTGAGGGGATATATTCCAGTAGCTTTGAACGCGTTGAGGATGTTTTTGGGTGTATGTGTAAAGGTACGGGCCTGCATCAATAATCTATATATCGGATATTAGTGAAAATTAATAGATAAAAAGGAGAATTTCAGCTCACGGGAAGAATGTCCCCTTATGAATTCCAGTATTTCCGTTTTGCGTCCAGTCGTCTAAAGCATTTGTATAATGACGTTGTAGAGGACCAAATAGTCCAACATCTAAAGGCTGTAGTATGTGTGTGGAGTGTGCGGGAAGACAGAGGGGTATAATATCGTTGTCAAGACAATAGGAAAAGAATTCCCAAGTGCAGTGCGAAACATGTCCATCAAGTATCAATAACCGCGTACGACCATTCGCTCTGTTATAAAAAATTAGTAATTTAACACACGTGAATGAGGAGAGTAATAAATGGATTGTTACCGTTGAGCTGAGTTAGGACCAAAGTTTTGTGTCAAATACTCTAAACCAATAATATTATTGGTCCACCCTTTCTTTGAATAACTAAAATATGCCTTTTCGTCTGCGTTTACCAAACCGTGCCAGCCTTGATACTGTGCTTCTCCTTTATATATTATAAATGGCGGAAGTGCGAAACCCCCAGCTGAAACAGTTTCGATAACTGTGATTAGCTCCCGAGCTCCATCCTGAGTTTTGAAGTTTCTTTTTTTGCCCCTCCTACAGATCACTTTTACGCGAGCAGACCTCCCCATTAAAAACCCTTTTTCGTCCATATTGTAGGTATCGTCAGGAAGTATATTATGTGTCACAACTACGCGCCGAAGCTATACAATTTGTTAGCGTAGTGTGACACAACATTGGAACTCCCATACCTGTGTAAAAAAATCTTTCAAAACCGCGGGATTACTGGCATACGAGCGTTGTTTGTCCAGACGGGTTGAAAATTTAGAAGCTAAATCAGGATGACGAGCGAGAAACCGTGTTAACCAGTTCTTGCCTAGCTTGGGTTTTCGAATTCCATGACTTCTGAGGAAATCTAAAGCCATATCCTTCACATATTGGTGTCGGGGCGGAAAACCCCAATCATCTAATTTCAGGATCCATTTTTTGATAGCTGTTTCCTCGATAGGAGTAAGGTTTTGCTGGTCCGTATGAGCATCTTGACGCGTTCTAGAACCAGCTAATCTGTTTTGAAGGGTAGTGTAGGCTATTCCATGCACGTCCGCTGCCTCCCTAATTGTCTTAATGCGCCCACTATCAAGGTCTCTCCTCGCATCCTCCACCCTCTTGTTGAAGTTCTCCTTTTCCTTTTCACGGCTTCTCCCCATCTCAATGATTGGTTTGGCTGTATTCCGGACTGAATAGTAATCAAAACTGGCCTACAACGAATAGAAAAACTCTTCAACTCAGGAGGATACAGAGGTTACACAGGACTCACTTCACTGATCGGTTACCCGGTGAAGGTCGGCTTCTAGGTGAAATACGTTACTCACCCATAAGAGTATACACGTCAGGGAAATAATCGAGAAACGAATCAGGATTCAGGAACTAATGAAAGGTACACCAAAATAAATACTCAATTGGAGTAAAAAGCTAGACCAGCAATTGGAGCTGAACTGGCGTCATCACAATGCAAATCACACATCTCACCGCTTCGGCTATCAGACCTGACAAGCAGCGTTTATCAATAATCTTAGAGTCAGCGATTTGCAGCTAGAAAAGAACCTAAAGTTCAGAATTGGGAGGGATGTGAAATGCTGTTGACAAGAGCACTATTCAACACTGAGTTGGAGCTTTCGCTACATGTTTAATAGGTGTACAGCATGATGAGTGAGTTAACAAGAATAACGTCGACAAAAAACCAAAAAAAGAAAAAACAACAACTAAAGCTGCCACTTTCACAAGCATCGAGTGATGATTTATGATCTGGCGATGGCATACGTTTGTGTATCTCGGAACCGGCCTATTGGTGGCGGTAGTAGTAGTAATTATAAGACAGCCTCACTTTGAGTCCACCTTGAGTTCGTATTTCTGTACAGGATTCCTCTTGTAACGTGGAGGATAGTCCAGATACACAGCATGCCCTTCCTGTCTATATATATCCGTTTGCATTCACTAATGGGATTCCGATTCAGATTCTGATTCGCTCAATCTGTCATGCTATATATAGTAGAAAGCCCTGGGCTAAGACATAATGCATGATTGATCCTTCGCTAATTGGCTGCGCTTGTTGCGTGGTTGTCATTGGGATGTTCTTGAAACTCTGACGGCGAGGATCTGTGAATTCGGTGGAGTCACGCTTGAGCCCTTGCTCAAAGACCGCTGGTTATACTCCTCTGATAAAGTTGGTCATAACAACTAAAGGAAATCACATATACCAGTTACGGGCATCGATCGATGGCATCGAGGAGTTCATGTAATCCACCACTTAGAGGGTTTAAATGAACGCTGAGAAAATTTTGGGGAAAGGTCTATCATCAGCTAAATCGATGGATTCGTGATCCACGAATTCAGCTTTGATTTTCGGCTTGAAAGACCAATTGGCATGTAGGTATTATCAATCCTTTCTTCAAGTCACAATGCAGGATTTTAACAAGTTCCCATCAGGATACCTAATATATAACTGGCTAGCTTGTGTATTGTTCATCCAGTCGTTACATACCCGTAGCAAAAATAAGAGAACAAAAGTATCAATCACACGAAATAAAGAATGGAAGTTTTAACATAGAGAGAAAGATGCAAATGTAGAAAATTGCTGATATCCCTCGCACAAGTAACGTCTCTTTAATAATCCCACGTAATCGCAAGTGTCGCGCCTGGGTAACATTTCCACCTTTCAGACGTTACAGCGTACCCAATCTATCTCGGATTAGCAGTTTTACATCAAGAAATACCATCCGGGGAACTGACCCAATATCCCATTGTCCCACTCCCATTGGGGTCGACGTCACACATTTCGAAAAGAGTGGTGTCGTAATTTGTGAGATAGTCTCGCCCATCGATTGTGCTCACGCCCCATGTCCCATCGACCGAACAGCAAGGATCGTTAGGATTATAGGTTTCATCATCATCGAACAAAAGCGTCCAGCCAACGGATATACCGCCATAGTTTTTACTCCAATAGCCTATGCAGACGCCAGTAGGAGACGTATCACAGGGACGGTAAAGTTTACCATTCCAGATAAAAGCGTGAAAGCCGTAGTTATTGGGAAAGTTTACTCCAACGGTTGTTTGACCTGATGCAGCGCCAATGGTGACCGGAATATTGTTAAGGAAATTGTAGTCGGGATTGTATGCAGTGAGAGTAATAGTACGATTCTGTGCGGTGTCTGTCTGAGCTGCAGAGATGGAGAAAGAGGAGAGTGATAGAAGGCAGAGGAAGAGGATGCAAAGAGGGCTGGTAATCTTCGTCATTTTGAGTACTCAGAAGTGCCGAGTGAATAATCAGAAGAATGAAGTTGATGATATCGAAGAGCAAGAAGGGGCTGCGCGGCCAGAGAGAGAGAGAGGAAGACAAGTTTAAATACTATTAAATTGCCAGCCTACAACCGGCCAACTTCTATCATGAATGGTCAGAAATGTCCGTTCGATCTATCGAGGTGGTAGGCTTGAGAGTCTCGATCTCGTCGGGCAATTTCAAGCTGTGATGTCTATCGTTACTATTCTTGTGGTGTCATCGTGTCACAACGTCTTTAACTTGCATACACAAATAATAACGACCCGTGACTAGAAATCAGGAATTTGTTTTTATTATTTGTATTAGAGTGTTTTAGTCCCCATATTCTGCCAAATTTCTGCGGCAGAAGCCACGTGCGCCACACCATATTACGTGGAAGAAATATGGTCGAGTAATGAATTTCAGGGATTCACTAAAACATTCTATTATAATTAATTATCCCTAGGCCTTCTAGTGTAGCAACATGCAATTTCTCCGCCTTCCGTTGTCAAGGGACGTATGGGATCGATGACTGAGCGGCATTGCTTTGGTGGCGTTGTATGCAGGTGCAAGACTACGGATTCAATACCTATATCTCCGAGAAAGGTCACTAGCTGAGGCCTAGGTATCGGTAGACATAAGCTGGGTATATAACATCGTGTAAGTTTAATTCTGCGAGAGATCAAGAGTACCCTAATTCACCTTCTGTATTGATCGCTTAAGCTAGCTCTAACCACGTGCATACACATGGCCAGTTCAGACTTCACCGAATAGTGTCGACCATTGATTATAATTACTTCGGAAAGATAATTTAGTTGCGCATTGGATCTTGGAACCACGTGATTCCAGTAGTACCAGGGGCACCATGCACACGAATACGAGGCTCTATCCTAGAGATCTTATCGAGATTAGTTTACGGTATTGAAACGTTGTGCAGCATATAACTATCACTGGACAGTGAAATCAACACGCATGATGCATTGGTCGAAGGATCCCATTGGTACATAAGAGGGATCGAAATATTCGTAGAGACAGTATACAAGAACTAAATGTAGACACTACTTAGGGCTCTAATCAAACAACAAACTAAAACCTTCGCGGCAGACACAGAAAGATCTGCGTGGTGAGATCTTCAATTTTGGAAGCTGATAAAGATCTCGGTTAACACACCAAGTTCCTTCGTTCCATAGGTGCGTTCCTGGATAATGGCATGCATATTTTTGCATTGATATTTCAAATTGGCCTGAATTGAATAAAGTGTTGTGACGTCGGTCTATTTATAGATGGACACTTTAGAAACCCACCAACGAAACGATGGTATGAGACTCGTATCGAAAGTCTCACGGCTTGACGAAACACCCGGTGGTAGTGCTTTTTAAGTTGCATCGGTAATAAAAACCCTATTCCTCGCTTCTCGAACCAATCATGTCGAGCTCTTCCTCTGGTTTACAGTAACGAATGGGCTTATAAGGAAGCTCACGCTGGGCGCGAGGCAGGAACCAAGCATCAGGTAGGTACGTATATACTGCAGGTTACCTCGAAGTCTATAGGTGAGTTCTAGAGAAGACATGGGTCATAGAGAGAGCCACTTGTAATGTGTGACGCCAGAGCATGGCTTGCACCAGAACTCAAGTGTACCATATGGACTGGCATTCAAGTCCCCGGCTGACATTTTACTATGTACCTGTGAGTGATGCATGCACACCTTGATTGATATAGAGAGGGTGCGGGATATAGAAGGGCTTCGGAATATTCCCTAGCTCGGCTTTTACCAAAAATTGGTCTAAAGTTGCTAGCCTGGGGTTCAGTGGATGGGGAAAATCAGCTGCATACAGCCTCATATAGCGGGCGGAGGTCATATTCCAGCATTGGGAAAGCCATGGATGATGGGCTTGTAGAGGTCTCGAACAGCTTCAATCTTACAATGGCTAGTAATGAAGGGGAAGACTATGTATTGGTGGAGCGGGAGTTATGAATAGAAGAATGAAAAGCTTATCGGGAACGTAATGGGGGGGTTCAATTTAGTGACAGCGCGGTAAGACCTGGGCAAAGGTAGTGCAGGAGAAGAGTTTAGCGGCACAGGCTTGAAGTGTTATACATGTAATTCCAGGTAATACTTGATGAATTTGCTGGGGGATAAATACGTGTACAGGCATGATACTACGTGTGTGAAAGGTGGAGCTACATAGAGCTTACAATGCGAAAAAGCGGGATGTTCTTGGTACCGTAGTGATAGATTATTATAGGACTTGCCATAGTACAACCGCTGTGAAAGAAATACTGTCCTCCAAAAATGACTATATTTATTCCTAAATATATTTAATATAATGTAATAGTAGTGCTAGATGATTCTATATATTACCTTTTGAATATCATTATTATTTCAATGTCATACTGCTGCAGCATTCTCGACAATGCCTATTTTGTAGGAGCTAGTAACACTCCAGGAGTAATATTCATTTTTCTATTTGGCGAGTAGCAGCTTGGAAACCTCTAAGTCATGGAAATAGATTTTAGAGGCGCTTTATATGATGGGGTTGTGGAAAATTATTCATACGCGTATGTATTGAGAATTGTGAATTACAACTAGAAGAGACGAAGTTGATAACAAATACTGGAGTTGATTATTTGATGACAAGCAAAATACCTATAAGCTAGCATACATCTCTACGTTGGGTGGAAATACATATACGTATACGTAAACCCTAGTATGTCGGTCTAGCTGTAACTCACACACCTACTATAGGGATAGTGAGTTACACCTATCAAACGGGGTGAGGTCTGGATATGGGTCGAATCGGGATACATTATAGTTCGGATAAGTTGGGACTGGGATAGTCTAAAGGGATAGGGTGAAAGCAAGAATATTCACGGTGCGCTACCTGTATACTG